TGACAGGAGGACAAAAACTAAATCGTTGTTTTGGTAAACACTACATGGCATTGGTTGCTTGATGACATACAAATTCATGTTAGTAACCATTCAAACTTCAAGCTGAGGGTACTCAAGCTCACCAAAAAGTGTCTCAATTATGTTGCACACATTTTTGCAGCACACTGAGCACAGCTAAGAACAAGCTGACTGCTTTAGCAACAAGGCATGTCAATCCTATTACACCCAGCTCCAGAAATCATAATTCCACGTTGTCATATGTAAGGTGAACACATAGTTAAAGCATTTAGTTATGCCTCTAGTATTGGTACCATGGCAAACGACATCACCTAAGATGCACAAGTCCCATAAAAGCAGGCAAAATGCACGAAACTAGAGGAACAGCCCCCAAACTCACATTCTAACTGAGAAAAAACCCTAGAGAGTAACCCGAGCACCTGCCCCAGCTCTCTAGGGTTCGCAGAAAGGATGAACTGGGCAGCAAATTCTAGGGTTTCCAGAACATATTCATGAATACAATACCTGAGTCGTGAAATACGGAGCGGGAATTGCAAGCAATTGAAAGAAATTCGTCGTCCCGCAAGGTTCCTCTGGATTCTAGGGTTTTTTTGTTTTGTTGAAATGTTCAAAGGGGCTTCAAATTGAAGTGTAGGACACCTGCCCTAGAACAAATAAGGGCATGAATATGTACCCTAGAGAGCCCCAGGAGCTAATGATTATGGCTGTGCGCATAAACAGAGAGAATATGAATGCATATATGCGATCCTGGTACTGGTAAAAATGGTTTCCTGGTTCGTCTTCGTGCTTGCTCGTTTGCCCCAAATTTTTCTCTCTCTAAACAGGACTCTTTTTTTTCTCTCTCTCTCTAAGCTCGTTTGCTATTCGTCGTTTGCCTGTGACTGGGCTGGACATGCAGACGGCGACAGAAAGGCCCTTTTTGTGTTCGGACTTACTTTACCCTTTTGCCCGTCTATACTTTTTGGTCCATATAACCATTGAAATCCAGCCCAACTTTGGAATCACTTTGTGTTGTGATTAGGGCGGTTCATCGATACAGAATCCGACCAAACCAAAATGGATCGAGGACTGACATCAAATAAAAGGAGTACCAAAGACCGGATCTATAAGTAGTCGGGTTTAGATTGAATCAGACTGAAATTGATTGGATCAAACCGATTAGAATCTAAAAGTCCGAATTGAAAATGCAGAATGTATCGATTATCAACTATTGAAGATCTAGGATAACATGTTTATTCAAAGCTAAAAGTACTTAAAGTAATAAATGAACATTTGGGCTAAATTTGAGAAGTGGCCACCAGTAATCAAGTTTTGGATTGTTCCAGCGAAGGAAAAAAATAAGAAACATCCATCAAAGTGTGTAATCATCTGGAAAGTTAAAATTAAATTACACTAATATTATCAAATTAGAAATTTGTAAGGAAATTAAAAACTTTTATGGTCTGGGATGATTCACTGAAGGATGAAGAATTTGTGAGAAAATCCAGAAGAGATGTGTGAACTATGAAGAATGGGGTTGGGGTAGAGAATAGAGATGTGGTCATGTATCATCATGAAGAAGAAAGATACATCGTGAATTGGTGACCGCCTGATTGGAAGAGAAATAAGTGATATTGTTACTAATTAATAATCAATCCTTTTGGTCAAGACCAAAACGAATTTGGGTTTGGACCAGACCAGACCAAAACTTAAAAACATACAAAACTTTGATCGAAGACCGACCCTAAATATTGTCGGTTCTTGATTTGTCTAGATGTAACGGTCCAGCTTGGTCTATTTTTCAGTTCGAACCTAATGTTATACAACCCTAGTTATGATTTGATTAATTAACACTTTTTTATTGATTAACACTAATGCCCCTATTTGACTGATGTCAGGCGGGATATAGATAAACTATGCAAATACGGAGTATGTAATTACATCTAATAATAATTAAAGTCATAAACTTTAATACGAATAATTATTAAAGTTTAGAAATTCAAATAATCAAATTGCACATTTGTTAACTCGAACATGTGATATTATGTCTGTTTATTTATAATGGGTCTTTATCCATATAACTTTGATTTTATTCAGTAATGAAACAATATTTCAGTAAACTTTGATACTATTCAGTAATGAAACAATATTTCCTTGCAAAAAAACATAAACATATATAGAACCACCTGTACCAAGTCTTATTCTATAATTGTGAACTTCGGTAGTCAATTGCTTCTATGTGCAATCATATTTCCGGTGAACCCTTAAGTATCACTTTTGTCCCATCTTTTGTGTATCATTAATCATCCTCACATTATCGACACATAGTCTCTCATAACCTAACAGCCTAAAACAGTGTTAAAGTTGGACAATACGGGGTTAGCTCCTAAGTTAGGTCTACTCTACCATTCTCATATCACTTTCATAAAATCGCATGTGTTTGCTTATATGAAATCCTCATGTTTCACAATCAAATTTTTTATATTGTGTTAAATAAATTGAAGGTGCTATTCTTGGACCATTATGGCCCAATTTGGCATTAGTGTTAGAGATTATCATTAGCATTTTGAAAAGACTATCCAATTGTAACTGTTCGCATTAACATTTTCAAAATTAATTTACATCTTTAAAATCTTATCCAAAATGCTAACGTTAATCGAAAACACGATTCTCAAACATGACCTATGTCGTAATACTCTAATGCTCCTTTAAATATTAAATCTTAACTCCACTGCCGATTTGGGTGTTTTATTCTTTCACCATGAATATTATAATATACTGTGTAATATTACAATGATGTAATACAATTTTCATTGTTAATACTCCCTTCATACTATAAATAGCTTCTATATTTCTCTTTCTGATTGTCTAAAAAAACATTCCACTTTCTATTTATAAAGAAATTTCTTTGGTTCATGTTATTTTTCTTCAATCTGTAGTACTTTAATTTCAATCGTACAATTAATATTTTTGAATAATTACTACGTGTGTGTGTGTGTGTATATATATATATATATAATGAAAGTTTTTCGTGGGATAGGAAGAGTATTCGAGAGAATATTTGTGTATCACAGAAATACTCCCAATACAGTTGCATGCAAGCATTAGAAATATAAGGCTTGGTCCGGTAAAACCGGATCAATTTTTCAAAATTTTGACTTCTAAGTCAATAATACTTGGGGTAGGAACGACTTAAAGCATGGACAAGGTGGCTATCCGGTCCAGACCCATTTCTGAAGGGGTCCGAAAATCTTTGTGTGTGTGTGTGTGTATGTAAATATATATTGACTCCAGTAAGATGACACCTTACGGTGAGATGACGTCAAGCTCAACACATTACACTACAAAGCTCACCAGTGGTTAATGCAAAGTTCACCTGGAAATAAAGCAAAGCTCACCCCTTTGAACACCAAAACTCACCATTTTTTGAAATTTTGAAAATTAAAAAAATTAGTTAAAAATAAAATAGCAACACCGGTCAGCAGCGGCAGCCGGTGACCGGCGACGGGCAGGCAACGGAGTAACGGCGGTGGCAGGTGGTGGGGGCGCGGCGGTGGTTGGCGACGGCGGAGTAGCGTCGGTGGCACGTGGCGATGCGCCGGTGGCCGATAGTGGTCGGCAGCGGCGCAACGACGGTCAACGGACAAAATCTAGTCAGCACCCTTTCCTTTGATTTTACTTCTTTGAAAAAAAATTTAAAGTGTTGAAAATATATGGTTTGAGTTGCCTTACAGTTTGGTGAGCTTTGTAGTTGTCCTTGGTGAGCTTTGTAGTGGCCAGTGGTGAGATTTGCGTCATCTGACCGTAAGGTGTCTTCTGACTGGAGTCAATTCTATACACACACACACTACAGGTTTTATATTTTGTTATTCTTATTATTATAATATTAATTATTGTTAAAAAAATTAATTGATGTGCTTTACTTCATCACAATGCAACGACCTAATTTTTCCGTGTCATGACAGACTCAGATTTCTCGAAGACGATCTTGATTTGGGGGTGCAGTTGACGGAGGCGCGAGAGTACGTTATGACCGATGCAAACTTGGTGGGTTTATTGGGGGGGGGGGGGTTAGAGAGACAGAAAGTATAAACTAAGTATTTTTTTTTACTGAACCACTATATGTGTCCAAATTGAGCTAATGTCATACTCCATCCGTCCTAAAAAGCTCGTTCCCTTTCTGTTTACGAGGTTTGACTGACTCTATTTTCAATTCAATTTATTTGATAGTATGTATAAAATTAAAAAATAAATTTAATGTCATAAGATTCTTTTCCAATTGTATGATGTGAAATGATATGATTTGTGTGCGCGCACGAAAAGGAGTGATGATGTGTAGAGATGTGAATTACTTTATTAATTTGAAGTTAGAGTATGTTAAAAGAGAATTTAACTAAATATGAGTAAAACATAATGACTTTCTTAATATAAGAACATACTCCCTTTGTCCCGAAATAGATTACAATATTCTCTCACATTTTTGTCTCAAAAAGAATTACAAAGTCAATAACTTTATAAAAAATTGACTCTTTTACCCTCTCACTCATACACTATTCACATTATTCATCCATGTGAGTGAGAAGCATACTTGGGGTATTTGGGGGGTAATTTGGGGAAAAAAATTTGATTTGACTCTTCATTAATTTCAACAAAAAAGGAATATTGTAATCTAAAGTGGGACGGAGGGAGTATGTTTTTATTTCACAATGTATAACCGTTGGTCATTATCCATTAGATATTATTTAAGTATATGTTCACCATCACTGGATTTCCTCCCACTAGTCATTATTACGTCATATTTAAGAAATAAAAAAAATTTAAATCCTATATTAAAAAATAACTTATGTCTTAATGTTATTTAGTACGGAGTATAATTTTTTCAATATTAAATTTTGATGGGTTAGAAACTAAAAAACAGAAGCCCCAGTATTTATAACGGATGGATTTTTTTGGGCCTTTAAACCCACAGAAATTAGCTTCCAGTCTTCCGGAAACTAGACAGTAGACCCTTCCAGAAACCTTTGGATTACGCAGGGGAGAGGGAGAGAGCTCTCACTCCTCTCAGGTCTGGATTTTCAGCGATGGCGGAAGAGAAGAAGAGAACGATAAATCTGTTCTGCCCATCCCTATCGAAGTTAGTGCCGGTGGTGGCTTGGGAAGACGAGAGAATCGACTTGGGGCACATAGCCCGGACCTTCGGGATTGAACCAGCAACGTTGAAGCTCAACGGGCACTTCATAAGCAGAGGCGTCGATCTCATAGCTTCGTCTGTAACCTGGAAGTCTCTTCTCTCCTTCTTCTCGGCTCGCGGTTTCTCCACCGGCGCCTCCCACTCTGACGCCCTCACTGTGGACGGCAAGCTCTCTAAACTCGGCACCAAAAGTAAGTAAATGCGTTTTCTATCTGCTGCTTTTATGTCGGTTTCCCTGTTCAGTTGCCTGGATGATTAGATTTTAAGCTGAATCTGTTCGTCTCTTGACCAAAAGGAACTGCAATTTTGGGGGCAATTGTTGAGATTTAGGGATGATGGTGTAAATAAAACCGGGTAAGTTGACCTGGACACAAACTCTACTCGTAGTAAACACACACAACACGACGTATGACTTAGACTGGGTAAAACTCCTCAGTCCGAATTATACGGAGTACTATATTTCTTATTCTGTGTCTCAAGAGTGTACTTTTAGTGAGAGAAAAATTAGATCCCCTTCTCTATCCATAATTCACCTATTTATAGAAGAGGATACGTCACCTTCCCCTTTTCATCCATGGACAAAATAGAAAGCTCGTGGGAAGGTCACTGTATAAATGGAATTACTATTCAATCATGGACTCTTCATGAATACAACAAAAGAAAAACACTGTTCAATCAGTGACTTCAAGAGGATATCTCCATCCAATTAACCCTGACAAATATTCTTTCAACTGTTTGCCTCGTGAAGGATGAGCGGCGCCGCGGCGGGGTGGTCTCTTGATCTTTGACGTGGATCGCCATTCTTAAGAAATTGGACAAATGTTAGCCAAGTAGAATGATATGACCAGTCTCTTTTCCTCAAAGGTTTCCCGGTCATTTCTTGAGCTCAGGACTACCTTTTGGTCTTCCGTAGCATCCTTTGTAACATTGGTGACATTTTTTGGCTATCGCTCGAAATGTGACCGGAAAAGTGACTGGTCAATTTTCGACCCGTCTCTTTCGAAGAGTTTGTCTCATTTTGTAATTGAGGAAAGTGACCGGTCAACTTTTTGACTTGTCACTTTCGGAAATTCGGGCCGGGTATAAGAAAATACCCATCAAGGAGTCATCCACTTATCGGCTTTGTGAGGGAATCATCAAGGGCAGGAAGTATAATTGTTTTTGACCCGTAACTTTTTAAGTCATCAAACCTTTCCCTTGACCTGTCCTTTATCATATGTTCGATGTCTTGCCCGGGGCTACTAATTGCCCGGGCTTTGTTTACTTCCATTCCCGCAACAAGAGGAGTTTTGTGACCGGCATTCCCCCTAGTCACAAAAAGTGGAAGCAAAAATTTGTTTTCATTGAATTTCCTTCCGAACAATTTCCATTCTCTAATCTTCAATGGGCAGACCGGATAGAAAAACCTGAGAGGGTTCAACCGGAGCCCACACCCGAGCTTGAGGATGCCTGCGAGAAACTTTTCAAGGGTGATCTTGTGACCGGGAAACCTTACGCCTGCGGTGGCGGGTGTACTGGTTACCCAACTCGGATGAGGGTAGGTCTGCGACCCATGATGCAGAAGATGACTGGGTGGATTCCTTGGATAGTCGTGCTGAGGCTGGTTCCCCTCATCTAGGTCGGTCAGTTCTCTTTAAATATTTATTTTTTTCTTCAATCAAGGTGACATATCTAACCGGTTACTTTTTGTTTTAGACATGGAATTTGCTGGGTTTGATCCTCAAGCTCAGTCAGATGACGAGGTTATGCTTGACCGGCTAGAAACAAAGCTCCATGCCACTACCTCGCCCCCTTCCCTTAAAGTGCCGAACACCCAAGGAATGACAAGTGCCCGGTGCACACCCTACAACGAGCATCTTCACGGAAAGGCGGGCAAGTCATCCAGTAATGTCTTCGAGGAGGACCGGCCAAACTCTTCTACAACCCCAGATGAGCTCCCTCTCAAGGAAGCCCAACCGGTTAGAGTTTTGTTTTGTTTTCTTTGTGCCCTCCTAACTTCTTAATTCTAGGCCGGTGCTTTGTCCGAGGAGATGGGCCGATTAATCCTTGAGCCCAAGGATCAACTCTCCCACCTTAATATCCTTCTTGAATCGGCCAAGGTGGAAATCAAGGACCTGGAGGAAAGAGAAAATAGGCTCGAGGAGGAGTTGAAGGCCGAAAAGGCCAAATTGGAGGAAAAAAAGGCTTTGACCGCCCGGTTGGAAGGAAAGGCCAGAGAGCAAGAGTCCAGGTTGACGCAGCTGGAGGAGGTGCTCGCCCAAGTGGAAGAATCTACCTGGGAAAAGGAGGAGGCGTTTCCTTCGGAGGCGGCTCAATGGGCGACCGACCATCACGTCCGGGCTAGAGGAGACAATGGCTTTCTTCCGGACCATGTACAAGGAGCCGAAAGGAAAGAAGATGATAACCGATATCGGTTCATATGGCTACCGGTCGGGTTAGAAGGCTGAGAGGTCAATCCTCTATGGCAAGCCCAAAAAGAGGGACTCTTCATTCGACCCGGTCGCAATGAAGCTCCCAGATTTGTACTACGAAGAGACAAGGAAGGCCTTGGGGATGTCCGACCTAATTTTGATTGACTTGTATGATATTCTCTCTTCTTGGCATGCTTTTAACATTTACCGGTTTATTTATTTCAACTTGTATGGTTGAATTGTCTTCTTGTATGGTTAATCTTTGCTGCCCGGTTTCCTTTTTGAACATGCTTGGTTGGGCTTTCTTTTTGAATATATTTGATTAAATCATCATACCGTTACCAACTTTCCAGCCAAATAATGTAGCCGGTCTTTTTCCCTTGGATTCATTTTGAGAATGTCCAGATCATCTCATGTCCTAGTTAGGGGTGCATGCAAATCAAATAAAATGTATTCGGTTCGTGATTCATATTCGAAAAGGATGATTCGTATTCGCTATATTTGAATTCGAATTCGAATACAAATTGTATTTTAGATTTGAATTATTTTCGAATCCGAATACAAATATTAATAGATTCGATTCGTTTATTATTCGAATTATTCAAATATTATAATTTAGAAATAAATTTATATATATTCTAATATATTAAATATTTGTGTACATATTTTAACATATTTTAATATATTAAATTTTTGTGTACATATAGATTTATATATATTCAAATATTATAATTTATAAATAAATTTATATATATTCCAACATATTTTTACTACATTTTACATTATTATAAAATAATAATTTAATGTCTTTTAGAAATCTGTTTTAAGAAAAAAATTACTAATATTTTCGAATTCAAATATTCGAATAAGAATTCCAATACGTCAAATATCTGTCGAATTGAATACGAATGTTTTTTAAAATTTGAATTATATACGAATCCGAATTCGAATACATATCACTTTAATTGAATACGAATCGAATAGTGATATATTTGCTTCGATTCGATTCGTATACACCCCTAGTCCTGGTCAAATGAATCAGCTTGAAAACATCCAGGTCTAATAGGTGTTCAACCGAGCCGGCTTGACTTTTAAACATGATATTCTCAATCAACTCCCTAAAACGTTCGGGTCACCTTGTTCTTGACTTCTTCTAAACCTATTTGCTTCCAGGTTGAAATGTAATGAACATTTAGGTGAAGTATTACGGGTAGAGTTTGTCCTGATCCAATCCCAAATGGTTTGGTCACAGTGTGTTATTGACTTGGTGAAGTAAACCTACCTTTGCCCAAATTCCTGTCCAGGCGTCCAATCAAATTTTGACCGGTCAATCCCAAGTTTTCCACACTTGTCTGATTTCTTCAAATGTAGCCTTTTGAAATTTGATCGGTCAATTTTCTCAAAGTTGACTGGTCAACTTTGAAAATCTCCCTCTCGCCTCTTTTTTGCCAATCTAGACTACTTTCAAAATTGACCGGTCATTTTTTTGACCATGCCTCTTTTTACTTCTATCCATCGGGCCTGTATGTTTTGTTCAACACCGGCCACAATCAAGTTTCGAGTGAATATCTCGAAACAACTTTTTACCCTAAGGGGCTGTTTGTTTCAGCCTCTTAATGGTTCAGATGTCTGAATGGTTCAGCACTTAATGGTTCAGACTGTTTGTTTCAGCCTCTTAATGGTTCAGATGTCTGAATGGTTAAGTACTATACAGAGTCTGGATGGTTAAGACCTCTTATCTGAATTGATCAGACATTTGTCTATGAATAGTTAAGCAATATACTAACTCTTAATGGTTCAGACCTCTTACCGGTTCAACACCTAATGGTTCAGACCTCTTACTGGTTCAGCACTTACCTATTCAGAAGTTGCCAAACAGCCTCTAAGTCTTAACATCAAGATCTGACCCGCCTTCGGAGATTTTGACCATATGATCGCGAACCCTCTACAAGGTCCAACCTTCTTCCAGGCAACACTCTTCTTCCAGGGTCTCTCTTCCGGGTTTTAAGTCTTTTAATGTGCCATCCTTTAATTACTAGGTTGACCTAGCCTACCTAATCTTCCCTCGTGGGGGTATGCCAGTGAGAACCATCCTTTTCGAAATCATTAAGTCATCCCCTCAGACCTATCACTTTTGAATTCGTGGGAGCTCAAGCATTAGGCCAGGTTTTTCGGTTTTGGAATTTCCCCCCAAAACCCTTCACCTTCCACATTCAAAATTCAAATTTTCCCTACTCGTCATTGTCCTTTACACGTGTCTGCCCCTCAGCCTTCCACCTGCCGCCTCGAATTCCAACCCTCCTCCTTCTCTCTTCTAAATACCCCTTCAATCCACTCCATTTCTTCACTTCTCCTCTTCGCTTCTCAAACTTCAATCGGTCTGCTTTCTCTCTCTAGCTTCTTGCTAAGTAAGTCCTCCAGTTCTCCTAGTCTTTCATTCTTTCAATCTTTCTATTCTTGACCAGTAGGCTAGAGTCATGTCGTCCTCTAACGATAGTCAAAATGTGTCCGGCCAATCTTATGGGTCGGGCTCTCAGCCCTCTTCCCCCACCCATGAGTCATCTTCTCCTCCTCCCACTCCTCTAATCCGTCGCTCCTCCCAAAAGCCTAGTACTCAGGCCCGGGAAATAGTTGTCCCGGAGCCTGTTCCCTTAAACCGAATGCCCGGTCGGTTTAACCCCAAAGTTCTCAATTGGGACGAATGAGAAGAACGGTGTTCAAAACATCCTCCAAGGTCACTAAAAAGGTCTTGGCTGAGGTCCGCTCTTTTCTCCCACCGGGCTACATCCTCCCCTCCAAAAGCGTGTGGCCTAATATAATAGAGCCCCATCAAGGAACCCGGTTGGGTTTCCATATTGCTTCTCTGGAGGGCGGCATAATTTTCCCCCTTTGTCCCCTCCTTGTTGAAATCTGCAATATGTTTCGTGTGTTGCCCGGTCAGCTCACTCCTAATGCCCACCAGTACTTGAATTACTTTGTCAACATCTGCGATTCTTTAAAAATCAAACCTTCCCTTCAACTCTTCCTTCACATGTTCAAAGTCTTACCCGGGACTTGCAATTGCCCGGGTTTTGTTTACTTTCATTCCCGTAACAAGAGGGGTTTTGTGACCGGCCTCCCCTAGTCATAAAAAGTGGAAACAAAAATTTGTTTTCATTGAGTTTCCCCCTGACCACTTTCCCTTTTCTAATCTTGAATAGGCTGACCGGATAGTAAAACCTGAAAGGGTCCACCCGGAGCCCACGCCCGAGCTTGAGGACGCCTGCGAGAAACTTCTAAAGGGTGATCCTGTGACCGGGAAACCTTACGCCTATGGTGGCTGGGTGTACCGGTTACCCAACCTGGATGGGGGCACGTCTACGGCCCATGACGCAGAAGATGACCGGGCCAACTCCCCGGATTGTCATGCTGAGGCCAGTTCTCCTCATCCAGGTCGGTCAATTTTTGTCCTTCCATTTTTTATAGGTGAAAAATCTAACCGGTTACTTGTTGTTTTGTTCTCTTTGGCAGACATGAACTTCTCCGGGTTTGTCAACCTTGATGCATCTGATGATGAAGTCCTCCATTCCGACCAACCTCCTTCCCCTCCCCAAATGTCTGGAATGGAAGGGGCTATCACTGCCCGGTGCACCCCTCTCCACGAGCTCATCCGGGATAAGAAGGTGAAGTCCCCCTCGGCCACCCATCTCTCCGAGGGTGACCGGGCTGATTCCCCTCAAATCCAGGTTAAAGCAAAATCCAAAGAGACCGGTGCTTCTTCTTCCCGCGCCAAAGCTCAAAAAAGGAAGGACTCCCAAAAGAGTTCCAGGAGGAGCAAGAGGAAGAAGACCGGGTCACTAGATCTGGAGGGGGAGTCCATTGAAGAAGCCTTCTTGGCCTTGGCTAAAAGACTTCACAAGGTATTCCATCTCTAATTTTCTTCCCGGTTTAATTATTTCCTTCGCTTTTACTGGTACACCTTTTTTTGAATCTTCAGACCGGGGCTATTTCAGAGGAGGTTGGCCGATTACTCTGGGAGCCAAGGGACCATGTCTCCCAACTCACCCTCCTCCATGATTCCGCCAAGTTGGAGATCAATGACCGGGCTGAAAGGGAGAAGAAGCTAGAGGAAGAGCGGGTGGCAGAGAAAACCAAGCTGGAGGAGGAGAGGGCCAGGTATGCCTGGTTGGAAGAGGATGGGCAGAGGAAAGTGGCCGAGCTGGAGGAGGTGTTGGCCCAAGTCGAAGAAGCTGCCCGGGCAAAGGAGCAGTTCTTTCCCGTTGATGCCGCCAACTGGGCCGCCTGCCATCATACGGAAGTTGCCCGGTCCATTCTCACCACATCGGAGGATACCATGGACTTCTTCAAAGTTATGTACATAGAGCCGGAGGGGAAGAGGATGATCACTCACATCGGGTCCTATGGGTACCAGTGCGGCAAGAAGGCTGAGAGATCTCTTCTCTATGGCAAGTTCAAAAGGAGGGATGCTACTTTTGATCCGGCTGCCTTGATGCTCCCGGCCCTTTATCAAGAAGAACCATCTCCCCCTTTCCCCTTAGAATAGGCTAGGGCTTAAATTTCAAACTCTGAATTTCTAAAGGCATGGGGGATGTCCGACCTGATTTTGACTTATGTAATATTATTGTATTTTGGCATGCCTTAAATATTTACCGGTTTATTTCTTTCAACTTGCATGGTTATTCTTTTCTTGCATGGTTTGTTTCTTGCCCGGTTCTCATTTTGAAGTTGCTTGGTTGGACTTGTTTTTCTTGATCATACATGATTGAACTTTCCAGCCCATAAATGTAACCCGTAACTCCAATTTGAATTCATCTTTAGAATGTCTAGGTCATCTCATGTCATGGTCAGATGCAAGTCTTGAAAACGTCACAGGTCTAGTAGGTATTCAACAAAGCTGGCTTGACTTCTAAGCATATCTCATCAACTCCATAAAACGTCCCGGTCACGTTTTGCTTGATTTGTCTCCTGATTCGGTTTACTTCCAGGTTGAAATGGAATAAACGTCTAGGTTGAGTTCGTCTTGGTGAAATCTCAAATGGTTTGGTCACAGTGTGTTGCCGGTTTGGTTATAAATTCCGGTCCAGGTGCCTGGTCAAATTTTGACCGGTCAAAAACAAATTTTTTCAAACTTGTCTGATTTTCTCAAATGCAAAAATTAAAAAGTGACCGGTCAATCCAGAACATTCAAAATTTGACCGGTCAAATTTTTTACCATGCCTCTTTTTTCTTATATCCATCTGGCCTACATGTTATGTTCAACACCGACCTCGAACAAACTTCGAACGAATATTTCAAAAGAGTTTTTACCTTAAGTCTCAACATCAAGACCCGTCCCATCTTTGGAGATTTTGTTTAGGACCTCTGCCTCGGCATACTCCAATTTCGTATTGTAGGCACTAGGCTTCCTGATAAGACGTAGGTGGCCTTCTACAAAATTCGATGTAGAGGCCCCCCTGACCGGAATGCATTCATCAACAGAGACATGACCGTCTTATCATCCATCTCTTCTACCTTATTAACCTCATCTCTCCATGTGGTTAGGAATTGAGTCAAGGACTCCTTCTCCCTCTGCCCTACTGTGTTAACGTAGGTGAACTTCTTCCTTTGTATGCAATTGTCCTAGTGCTTCTTGCGGAAAATCTCAGCAAGTTTTTCGAAGGACCCAATTTTACCATGATGAAGGCTATTAAACCATTCCACTGACCTCCCTCCCAAGGATGAGAAGGAGAGTAAGCATTCCTCAACATCGGTACACCTGGCCATTTGTGCTGCATTATAAAAGGTGTCGAGGTGGACGTTTAGATCCTCTTTTCCAGTGAATTTCTCCACGTCCAACTTGATCTTCCGCCTCAGCTTGTGTGCATGTACCCTAGCCGAGAAGGGTGATTTTGCCAGGATATGCTTCTTCGCTCCCGCCCGCTCTTCTACTTTTTCCTCCAGAGCACGTAGTTTTCTTGCTACGCTCCCTATCTTGTCCAGGTCATCCTCATTGTATGAGTCTGGTGTACGCCGACGCCCTGGGTTGACTTTTTTCTATCGCGCTAGTCCGCCTCATTTCAAGACCAAGACGTAGCTTAGCAGACTTGCGGGGTCCATCATCTTTGTCCCCCAGGCGTTTGAACGCTTAATCACGGGTTTTGCTCGGTCTGGCTATAGATTTTCCCTTCCTTCTGCGGGCTGCCTCTTGCTCCGCATCATCGACCTCTTTCGAATCGGCCTGGATATTTGAGGGCACGCTTTGTCCATTGCCCCTGTCAAATTCACCGGGCATACAAGAATTACACTAGGGATGAATGTTGACGAAGTTGACACCAGGGGTGGCACATGGTTCATGATTGGTGGAATTATGCCAGGATAGGCAAACAACGTGAGGCCCCTTACCTGTTGCATCATGGCTATCACCTGTTGATAGCCCTGCAGAGCTTGAGCATTCACCGGGTCAGCGGAAAATTGAGCCAAGCTCGATGGAAATAAGGTGAATGTTCCCCAAGGCGTTGTTATCGAGCATGGGAACATTGTTGTTTTCGGCATCGGAGTAGGGGTTGACATGATTGGGATCATCCCAAGCAATCCTATCGAGTTGATTGGGGCAAAAGACGACCCCATGTTTGTTATCATCACCGGGATAGCGGGAGTGCTTTCACTCGCAGCCTGACTTGAGACAACGGTGTGGTTGCTTGAAGACTTGATCGTGGATGTTCGTGGGGATACAATTTTGACCTGGTCAAATTTTTTTATAAATTGGGTCCCACGGTCGGTGCCAAAAATGATGGTGTAAATATAACCGGGTAAGTTGACTTGGACACAAACTCTACCCGTAGTAAACATACACAACACAAAGTATGACCTAGACCGGGTAAAACTCCTCAGTCCGAATTATATTTCTTACTCTGTCTCAAGAGTGTACTTTTAGTGAGAGAAAAATTAGATCCCTCCTCTATCCATAATTAACCTATTTATAGAGGAGGATACTTGACCTTCCTCTGTTCATCCATGGACAAAATAGAAAGCTCGTGCGAAGGTCACTGTATACAGTGGAATTATTATTCAATAATGGACTCTTCATGAATATAAAAAAAGAAACACTGTTCAATCAGTGACTTCAAGAGGATATCTCCGTCCAATCAACCCTGACAAATATTCTTTCAACTGTTTGCCTCGTGAAGGATAAGCGGCGGGGTGGTCCCTGATCTTTGACGTGGATCGCCATGTTTAGGAATTTGGACAAATGTTAGCCAAGTAGAATGATATGACCGGTCTCTTTTCCTCAAAGGTTTCCCGGTCATTTCTTTAGCTCAGGACTACCTTTTGGTCTTCCGTAGTGATGGTGTAAATATAGCTGGGTGGGTTAACCGGGTTTGACCTGGACACACTCGACCCGTAATATAAAACACACAACAAGAACACAAAGTATGACCTAGACCAGGTAAATCTCCTCAGTCCGAATTATATTTTTACTCTATCTCAAGAGTGAACTTTAGTGAGAGAAAAATTGGATCCCCTCCTCTATCCAATATCATCATATTTATAGAGGAGGATTTGTGACCTTCCCCTGTTCATCCATGGACAAAATAGGAAACCCGGAGGAAGGTCACTGTACATAATCAATCTACTATTCAATCAATGAATTTAGCAACTATAAGCCAAGACATGTACTGTTCAATCAAAGACTATAAATGGATATTCTCAATCCAATCAGCCCTGCAAAATGACAAACATTCCTTTCACTATTTGCCTCGTGATGGACGAACGGCGGGGTGGTCCCTCGATCTTTGACGTGGTTCACCACGCCTGAGATACTGGACCAATGTTTGCAAAGTAAAGTGACATGACCGGTCACCTTCTCTCAAAGGTTACCCGATCATTCTTTGCGCTCAACCCGTCTCTGGTCTTCTAGAATGTCCTTTGTAACATTAGGCGACATTTTGGCTATCGCCCAAAATGTGACCGGTCACTTTTTTAGAAGAAGTGACCGGTCAACTTTTGACCCGTCTCAATCGAAGAGTTAACCTCATTTGGTGATTGATAAAAGTGACCGGTCATATATTGACATGTCCCTTCTGGTTATCCGGGTCGAGTATAAGGATATACCCATCAAGGAGTTCTCCACTTACCGGCCTTGTGAGGAAATCATCAAGGGCGGGAAGTATATTTGTGTTGACCTATCACTTTTGAAATCATCAAGTCATTCCCATGACCCGTCCTTCTTTGAAATCATCAAGTCATTCCCATGACCAGTCCTTCTTTGAAATCATCAAGTCATTCCCATGACCTGTCCTTTGAAATATCAAGTCTTTCCCTTTCAGACCTATCCTTCTTTGAAATCATCAAGTCATTCTCGTTTGAGACCTGTCATTCTTTGGGATCATCAAAACATCAAACCTGTCCAATTTTGGACCCCTCAAATCTTCATATTTGACATGTCCAATTTTGGACCCATCAAGTCTTCATATTTGAATATTTGACCTGTCCAATTTTGGAGCCATCAAGTCTTCATATTTGACCTGTCCAATTTTGGATCATTAGGCACTCTAATGACCTGTCTATTTTTGAACGCATCAACCATTTCTTTTGAGACCTGTCCTTTAAGAAATCACCCTCAAGTCATACCCATGACTTATCCCCTGACCTGTCGCTTTTTAGATCTGATCTAATCATTCTCTATGACCTGTCACACTTGGATAACGTGAGGGAGTCCAAACATCAGGCCTGGCTTTTCAATTTTGGAATTTCCCTCCAAAACCTTTCACCTTCCACGTTCAAAATTCAAAATTTCCCCCTCATCATTACCTTATCCACGTGTCAGCCCCTCAGCCTCCCACCTGTCGCTTCGAACTCCAACCCTCCGCTCTCTCTCCTATAAATACCCCTCCAACCCATCTCATTTCTTCACTTCTCCTCTTCGATCTTTCCACTTCAACCGGTCAGCTTTCTGTCTCTAGCTCTCTTCCAAGTGCTTCAGTCCTCCTAGTCTTTCATTTCTTCCATCTTGTTATTCTTGACCGGTAGGCTAGAGTCATGTCGTCCTCTGATAGCCAAAATGTGTCCGGTCAGTCTTATGGATCGGGCTCTCAGCTCTCTTCCTCTTCCCACTCTGAATCTTCTTCTCCCCCTCCTACTCCTTTGATCCGTCGCACCTCCCAACAGTCTAATTCTCAGGCCCGGGAAATAATTGCCCAGGAGCCTGTCCCTTTGAATCAACTGCCCGGTTAATTCAATCCCAAGGTCCTCAGCTGGGAGCAATGGGAAGAACGACTGGGATCCTTGGGCTTCCTAGCCCTTGATGTTAGACCGGTGTTCAAAGAGTCTTCTAGGGTTACCAAAAAGGTTTTGGCAGAGGTCCGTTCTGTCCTTCCATCCGGCTATAAACTCCTTTCCAACACCACCTGGCCCAACATTATTGAACCTCACCAAGGAACCCGGTTGGGTTTTCACATTGCTTCTTTGGAGGGTGGCATCATTTTCCCTCTTCGCCCCCTCCTCATAGAAATCTGTCACAAGTTTCATATTTTACCCGGTCAGCTCACTCCCAATGCTCACCGGTTCTTGAATTGCTTTGTTAATATTTGTGATTCTCTGAAAATCAAACCTTCCCTCGACCTTTTCCTTCACATGTTCGAAGTCTTGCCCGGGACTAGTAATTGCCCGGGCTTTGTTTATTTTCATTCTCGTAATAAGAGGGGTTTTGTGACCGGTCTTCCCCCTAGCCACAAAAAATGGAAAAAAAGATTTGTTTTCGTTGAATTCCCCCCTGACCAATTTCCTCTCTCTAACCCTGAGTGGGCTGACCGGGTTATAAAACCTGAAAGGGTTCATCTGGAGCCCACTAAAGATCTTGAGGTCGCCTGCGAGAAACTTCTCAAGGGTGATCCTGTGACCGGGAAACCTTATGCCTATGGAGGCTGGGTGTTCTGGTTACCTAACCCGGATGGGGGTACGTTTGCGACCCATGACGCTGAGGATGACCGGGCGAACTTCCCGGATAGTCATGTGAGGCCGGCTCTCCTCATCCAGGTTGGTTAATTTTCCTCAACCTTTTGTTTTCACTTTTATTTTGACAAGGTGTAAAATCTAACCGGTCACTTTGTCCCTTTTGGCAGACATGAACTTCACCAGGATGTCCACTCTCTTCGAAGACGATGACGATGATGTTGAACTTCACCATGTTGACCAGCCTCCCAATAACGACCAGTCAACTTTCTCCAAGCTTCCTTCTCCTCCTCACATTCCCGAAACAGAAGGGGCCACAAGTGCCCGGTGCACCCCTATCCATGAGCTCCTCCGAGATAAGAAGACAAAATCCCCTTCGGTCACCCATCTCTCTGAAAATGACCAGGCCAACTCCCCAAAGAAGGATGCCAAAGCTAAAGGAAAAGATACCGGTCGTTCTTCTTCCCGCACAAAGGCTCACAAAAGGAAGGGCTCCCACAAGACTTCCAAGGGGGACAAAAAAAGAAGAAGACCGGGTCACTTGATCTGGAGGGGGAGTCCATCGAAGAAACCTTTCTCGCCTTGGCCAAAAAGCTTAGCAAGGTATTCAATCTCTAATTTTCTTCCCAGTTTAAGTTTTTCCTTTACTTTTACTGATGCAACCTCTTTTTTCAAATTTGCAGGCCGGGGTTATCTCAGAAGAGGTTGGCCAATCACTTCTGGAGCCAAAGGACCAGGTCTCTCAGCTGAACCTCCTGCTCGACTCGGCCAAGTCAGAGATAAATGACCTGGTCGAGAGGGAGAGACGACAGGAAGTAGAGCTAGAGCTGAGGACTGAGAGGGCCAAGCTTGAGGAGGAAAGGGCCCTGCTAGAGGAAGAGAGGGCCAGGTCTGCCCGATTGGAGGAAGGGAAAAGGAAGGTCGCTGAGCTTGAGGAGGCGTTGGCCCAAGTGGAAGAATCTGCCCGGGTCAAAGAAGAGTGTTTTCCTGATGATGCTGCGAATTGGGCCGCCTGCCACCACACTGAAATTGCCCGGTCCATTCTCACCAAGCCGGAGGATACCATGGACTTTTTCAAAATTATGTACAAGGAACCGGAAGGGAAGAGGATGATTACGGACATAGGGTCTTATGGATTCCAGTGTGGTCAGAAGGAGGAAAGGTCACTTCTCTATGCCAGGCTCCAAAAGAGGGACCCCTCATTTGACCCGGCTAAGATTAAACTTCCAGCCTTGTACAAGGAAGAACCATCTCTCCCCTTTCCCTTAGAATAGGTCACGCCAAGTTTAATTTGGAACACTTTGAATTTTCCCAAGGCTTGGGGGATGTCCGGCCTACTTTTTGACTTGCATGATACGTAGATTTTCTTGGCATGCTCTTGAATTTTATCGGTCATATTTGCTTCCAGTTGTATGGTTGAACTTCTTTTCTTGCATGGTTATTGTCTCTTGCATGATTGTTTTCCTTGCCCGGTCACCTTTTGAAGTTGCTTGGTTATACTTGCCTTTTCTTGAACATGCTTGATTTAACTTCCAAGTCAAAAACAATAACCGGTCTTATCCCTTTGGAGTTGTCCAGGTCATCTCATGTTTTGGTCTTTGGTTAACGCCTTAAAAATGTCTAGGTCTGGTAGGCTTTGTTGAAAGCGTCCAGGTCTTTTGATGTCCTAGTCAATTTCATCTCTTGAAAATGTCCAGGTCTTGTAATCTTGAAAACGTTCAGGTCTGGTACGTTTTTGAAGCGTTCAGGATTTAAACATTTATTTTCATCAACTCCATAAACGTCCAGGGCGCCTCACGTTTGGATAGTCTTATGGGCCGGCTTACTTCTAGGTTGAACTGCAACAAACGTCCAGGTCATCTCATGTCCTGGTTTAGTAGGCCAGGTTGAAAGTTTTGAAGACCATTTTAGATGTAAGGCTTGAAAACTTCCAGGTCATCTCATGTTCTGGTCTCTAGAGTTGAAAACATCCAGATCTTGTAATCTTGAAAACGTCTGAGTCTTCTCATGTCCTGGTCAATTTCATCTCATGAAAATGTCCAGGTCACCTTTTTCCCGACTCGTCTTCTGATCCGGTTAACTTCCAGGTTGAAATGTAATAGATGTCTAGGTTGAGCTTTGTCGTGGTGTACTTTCAATGGTTTGGTCCCGTTACGTCCAGGTGCTAGGTCAAAAATATGACCGGTCAAAAATCGAAGATTCCAGATTCGTCTGATTTCTTCGAATCCAGCCCTTGAAAAAGTGACCGGTCACTTTTCTCAAAGTTGACCAATCAAATTTTTTATTTTTCCAATCACCTTTTCTTGTCAATCCAGAATATTAAAAAGTGACCGGTCACTTTTGACCATGCCATTTTTCTTATATCCATCTAATCTGGATGTCATGCTCTACAGCTACCTTGATCGAATTTCAAACAAACATTCCGAAATGGTTTTCGTCTTAAGTCTCAACATCAAGACCTGACCTTTCTTCAGAGATTTTGACCATGTCCTATGATCGCGAACCCTCTCCAAGGGTCAGCCCTCTTCCAGGCAACACCCTTCTTCCAGGGCCCCTCTTCCAGGTTTTAAGTCTTTTAATGTGCCATTCTCTAATCATTAGGTTGACCTAGCCAACCCAATCTTCCCACGTGGGGGTATGCCGGTGAGAACCAGCCCTCATCCAATCCTACATGTCCATATGTTATGCGTTTGAAGTGAATTCTAGTCTTCCCTAGATCCTTCAATCCGCAAAGGATGGCTCATGCAAGACGGTAAAATTTTTTTTACTTTGGCATCTTTTTGCCCCTATCCAAACGAAAATTTGGTAGGGATCCATGTAAGTATGGACGCGAGTCCTCTTCGAGACCCAGCCTATCTCAAGGCCATACCTCAACATCAAGTCCCCTATCTCAAGGGTTTATCTCCTTTTTTTTGGACCTTGCTTCTTACATCAAGACATGTTATTTTAGTATTACTGACCCAGCAACACAAGTATCGAAGAAAGCTCTTATTTATCATCGAAGGGGTATTACAAATACATGCCCTGCCAAATTTTGATCTATCGGTAGAATTTTCTATGGTGGTGGGAATTCCAACACCTTTCCAATTCTCTACCTTCCATTGTTGCTAACTTGTATGTCCCAGGGCGTAATATTGTTGTGACCCTATATGGGCCTTCCCATTTCTTTGCAAGTTTTCCCCCGTCTCCGGGTTTGCTGGCCTCCCTTCGTCTCAGGACCTCATCACCCACTTGGAAATAACGAGGCCCTACCTTGTTATCATGGTAGGCCTTGGCTGCTTGCTGGTATTTTATCATTTTAGCCTCAACGATCATCCGCCTTTCTTCCAGCAAGTTTAGCTCTGCCAAATGGTTTTCCTCATTCCCTTTCTCTTCATAGACCTTCTCCCGAAAGGTTATTATTTTAGCTTCGATAGGTAGTCTGGCCTCACACCCATATGTAAGAACGAAGGGTGTCTCCCCTGTGGCCCTTCTTGAAGTGACCCGGTAAGCCCATATGATATGTGGCAACTCCTCTAACCAATTCGTTCATGCCTCACCCAACCGCTTTTTGATCCCATCGACTATTGTGCGGTTTGCATTTTCCACCTGACCATTCCCTTGCGGGTAGGCCACGGAAGCCTTGTTGTGAGTAATCCCGAAGTCCTCCAAGTATTTGGTGAACCCTGGATTCTGAAATTGAGGCCTGTTATCCGTCACAATGTTTTGGGGAGACCCGAACCGAGCGATGATGTTCTTCCAGACGAAGCGCTGGCATTGCTTGGTCGTAATGGTTGCATATGTCTCGGCCTCTACCCACTTTGTGAAATAGTCGATAGCGACTATCACGTATTTTTTTCTCCCTTGTGCTTGAGGGAAGGCTCCAATGATGTCCATCCCAAACCTTGCGAATGGAATGACATTGGAAACTGGGTGGTAGTAGGTCGTAGGCCTTCCGGAAACTTGTAGAATATCTGGCAAATCTTGCACTTCTGGACATACCTCTCGCAATCTTGGTTCATTGTAGGCCAGAAATAACCTAGCAAAATGATCTTTTGCGCGAGTGTCCTGGACATTTGGTGGGCTGCGCAGACACCCTCGTGAACTTCGCCGATCACTCTTTCCGCCTCTGCCCTGGTCAAGCATCTCAACATTGAACCACCAAATGCTCTTTTGTATAGCCTTCCATCAAGCATTTGGAATCTTGGAGCCCTCAACTTAATTTTTTTTACCCTGTCCTCGTCTTCAAGGAATTGCCCGGTCATGTAGTACCTTACCAAATCGTCCATCCAAATATCATCTGGCTCTACTCGATCTGGATTAGGTTGTCCATCTTCCTCTATCATGCTAACAGAAAACCCTTCAATGCTGGCTTTCTCCAGCGTCTCAATCCTGGCCAGCTTGGACACATGCTCCGGGGCTGCTTGCGTCAACTTTGATAGCAAGTCAGCATCGGTGTTCTCCCCCCTAGGGATTTGCTCCATCACATACTCAGTCAGGTCCCTCAACAGTGCCCTTGCCAAGTTTCTGTACTTCTGCATCTTCTCTCCTTTGGCCTCCATGTTGCCATTTATGTGGCCTACCACCAAGCTTGAATCGGACTTAATCCTGAGGCATGTGATTTGTAGGGTTTTGGCCAATCTCAGGCCCCCTATCAACGCCTCATACTCGGCCTCATTGTTCGTGAGTTTGAAATTAAAAATCAAGGCATGATATACCTTAAACCCTTTCGGAGTTGTGAACACAACACCTCCCCCGTAACCTTTCGGCCCGGAAGCTCCGTCGACCGACATGGACCACCAAAGCTCAGTGATGGCCCTGGCCGGTTCTTCTTCCTGGTGACCCGTCATCTCCACAAGAAAATCAGCCACAGCTTGCCCTTTTATCGCCGTCCTCGGACGATATTCAATGTTGAACTGGGTAAGCATCATGGCCCACTTGATCATTCTTCCTGATGAGGTGGAGTCCCTCATGACTGTGCCCAATGGTAGGTCAGTCAGCACGATGATGGGGTGGGCCTGGAAGTAGGAGATGAGTTTCTTCGCCGTTATGAAAAGTGCATACGCTGCCTTTTCTGTAGGTGTATACCCACTTTCCACCCCATTCAGAGCCTTGCTCACGTAATAGATAGGCCTCTGGACTCCATCATCCCTCATTAAGACCGAGCTAACAGCCATTTGGGTCACCCCCAGGTAGAGGTATAGGGTCTCCTTCGTTTCTGGCTTGGATAGGACAATATCCGAAGTCAGGTACGTCTTTAGCGCTTCGAATGCCCTGGCACATTCCTCATCCCACTGGAAGGTGTTGGCTTTCTTTAAGACTTTAAAGAAAGGTAAGGCCTTCTCAGCTGATCTGGACAAGAACCGGTTTAGGGCCGCCAGGTGCCCCGTTAATCTCTGGACATCCCTTACCGATGATGGGGGTTGCATCTCCACAATGGCCTTGATCTTTTCAGGGTTTGGTTCAATCCCCCTCTTTGTCACCATGAAGCCCAAGAACTTCCCCGTCCTTACAGCAAAAACACACTTCTTTGGATTAAGTCTAAGATTATGCATATCCATAATCTCAAAACATTTTTTCAGGTCTCGAGCGTGCGTGCTGGCTGCCCTGCTTTTCACCAGCATATCATCGACATAGGCCTCCATGGTCCGTCCAAGCAGAGGCCTGAACAATTTGTTGACCATCCTTTGGTAAGTTGCCCCTGAGTTTTTCAACCCAAAGGCCATCACCCTGTAACAATATGTGCCGTCCGGAGTGAGGAAGGCCGTCTTCTCCTCATCATCTTCCGCCATGAAGATTTGGTGATACCCCTTGAAGGCATCCATGAAACTGAGCAACTCACACCCGACAGTTTCGTCCACCATTTGGTTCGGGCTGGGGAGAGGGTAAGAGTCCATCGGGCATGCCTTGTTAAGGTCAGTGTAGTCCACACACATCTTCCAGGTATCACCTTTTGGAGCTAGGACAACATTGGCCAGCCATTCAGGGTAATTTACTTCCCTGATATGACCTACCTCAAGTAGGTCCTTGACCTCCTTTTTCACAAAGTCCCTCCTATCACTTGCCAAGAAGCAAATGACTGACCGGTCAATCCCGGGCATATCAGCAACACTCCAGGCAAATAATGATTTATACCTGGTCAACACCTGAACAATCTGAGTCCTTAGCTCCTCCTGAAGATCAGCCCCAATTTTGACCTTCCTTTCAGGATTGGAGGCATCAATCTGGATCTCCTCCGTGTTTGCATCTGGCTCGATCCTAGCCTTCTCCTCATCCTTGTCTACTTGCTGGGAGACCAGTTCTATTTCTTCGAACTGGCGGGTCATCTTCTTGACCGCTTCTAGGTAACAGGACCGTGCATTCTTCTGATCACCCCTTTCCTCCCCGATTCCATTGGGAGTGTAAAACTTCATGCATAAGTGTGCCATGGAAATAATAGCCCTGACCTGGTTGATTCCAGGCCTACCCAGAATGGCATTATGCACACATTTGATGTCGACCACAACAAATCTCATTTGTTTGGTCACTGTCCTGTTACCTGACCCCAAGGTAACCGGTAAGGTTATCTGACCTTCCGCTTCTATGCTAGCTCCAGTGAAGCCTGACAATGGAGTTTGTAATGGTCTCAACATGGACTTGTCAAGCTTCAATTTCTTGAAAGCATCCAAGTATAAAACATTGACACTGCTTCCTGTGTCAACTAGGAGCCTGGCCACATCAGCCCCATTGATGTCCATTGTAATGACCAAAGGGTCATTATGATCTCCCCCCGTCCTGGGCAGATCCCTATCAGTGAAAGTGATAGGTTCCCTCCTTGCCTGCTTCCCTTGTGATTCCAGGGAAACCACCGCTACGTGCAAGCTCCTGGCCCAGTTCTTCCGCTGGGAGGCAGTATCTATCCCCGCCTTCTGGGCTGCCGACAATCATCTCGATGAATTCTTTATCCGGCTTGTTGTTATCCTTTCCGGATTTTCTCCTTCCCTGGTCTTTCCCCTGAGGACGGGTCCAGGTGTTCGCTTTCGGGTCCTTTTTATTCCCCGTCGCGTAACCTTCCCCAAGCTCTCCTTTCAAGGCCATCTCCTTGAGCACAGCCTTGACATTTCGGCAATCCGCCGTATTGTGGGAGTCAGATTGGTGGTAGGTACACCACTTCTCCGTCCATGGCCTCTTGGACTGCTCTCCCTTCTTATCATCCCTTGTTTGATGGACAGACCCGTCATACGTGGCCTTTGGCTTGGACCCTCCCGTCTGGTCGTCCTTCTTCGGCTTATCGGCTTTCACCTTCGTATATCCTTCCTCCAATTCCCGCTTGCTCTTATTCAAGACTTCTGCCTCGGCATACTCCCATGCCGTATTGTAGGCTTCTTGGTAAGAGGAGGGTGGCCTCCTACAGAATTCAGTGTAGAGGTCACCCGACCGGAAGGCATTCATCAGCAAAGACATGGCCGTCTTATCGTCCATCTCTTCTACCTTGTCGACCTCGTCCCTCCAGCGGGTCAAGAATTGAGTCAAGGACTCCTTCTGCCTTACTGTGTTAAGGTAGGTGAACTTCTTCTTCTTAATGCAGTTGTCCTGATACTTTTTGCGGAAAACTTCGGCAAGTTTCTCAAATGACCCAATCCTGCCATGGGGAAGGCCGTTAAACCATTCCACTGGCCTCCCTCTCAAGGATGAGAAGAAGAGTAGGCATTCCTCATCATCAGTGCACCCGGCCATCTGTGCTGCATTGTGGAAGGTGTCAAGGTGGACGTTTGGATCCTCCTTTCCTGTGAATTTCTCTACGTCCAGCTTAATCTTCTGCCTCAACTTCTGCGCATGTACCCTGGCCGAAAAGGGAGATTTAGCCAGGGTGTGCTTTTTCGCTCCCGCCTTCTCTTCCACCTTTTCCTCCAGGGCACATAGCTTTCTTGCTACGCTCCCTATCTTGTCCAGGTCATCCTCATCGTATGAGAGCCTGGTATATGCCGACGCTCTGGGCTGGCTTTCTGCTTCCTCCTCGTCTTGGTGAATCGTCTCAGATTCCCTAGAACGACGAGATTGGGCGTGACGACTCCCGCCAAGTCTTTACATTGCGCTAGTCCGACCCATCTCAGGACCAAGACGTAGCTTGGCAGACTTGCGGGGTCCATCCTCTTTGTTCCCTAGGCGTTTGAACGCCGAATCTCGAGTCTTGCTGGGTTTGGCTACAACCTTACCCTTCCTCCTGCGGGCCGCCTCCTGCTCCGCCTCATCGATTTCATGGACATTTGAGGGCGCCGCTTCATTCATGGTCCCCGTCAAATTCACCGGACGTATAGGGACCATCCTAGGGACAAATGTCGACGGGGTCGACACCGGAGGTGGCATAATTGGTGGCGTCATGCCGGGATAGGCAAATGGCATGAAGCCCCCTGCAACCTGTTGATAGCCCTGTAGAGCCTGAGCATTTGCCGGGTCAGCAGCAAACTGAGCCCAAGCTGACGGGTATGGTGTGAATGCTCCACTAGGCGTTGTTATCGAGCCTGGGAACATTGTTGTCGTCAGCGTAGGAGTAGGGGTTGACATGATTGGGATCATGCCAATCGATCCTACAGTGGTGATCGGGGCAAAGGTCGTCCCCATGCTCGACATCATCAAAGGGATGGCAGGAGTGCTTTCACTCGCAGCCTGGCTTGACACAGCGTTGTAGTTGCTCGAAGACATGATTGTGGATATTTAGTGAGGGTAAGGTTTTGACCTGGTCGAAAAAACTTTAAGAATCGATCCCACGGTCGGCGCCAAAAATGATGGTGTAAATATAGCTGGGTGGGTTAACCGGGTTTGACCTCGACACACTCGACCCGTAATATAAAACACACAACAAGAACACAAAGTATGACCTAGACCGGGTAAATCTCCTCAGTCCGAATTATATTTCTTACTCTATCTCAAGAGTGAACTTTAGTGAGAGAAAAATTGGATCCCCTCCTCTATCCAATATCATCATATTTATAGAGGAGAATTTATGACCTTCCCCTGTTCATCCATGGACAAAATAGGAAACTCGGAGGAAGGTCACTGTACATAATCAATCTACTATTCAATCAATGAATTTAGCAACTATAAGCCAAGACATGTACTGTTCAATCAAAGACTATAAATGGATATTCTCAATCCAATCAGCCCTGCAAAATGACAAACATTCCTTTCACTGTTTGCCTCGTGATGGACGAACGGCGGGGTGGTCCCTCGATCTTTGACGTGGTTCACCACGCCTGAGATACTGGACCAATGTTTGCAAAGTAAAGTGACATGACTGGTCACCTTCTCTCAAAGGTTACCCGATCATTCTTTGCGCTCAACCCGTCTCTGGTCTTCTAGAATGTCCTTTGTAACATTGGGCGACATTTTGGCTATCGCCCAAAATGTGACCGGTCACTTTTTTAGAAGAAGTGACCGGTCAACTTTTGACCCGTCCCAATCGAAGAGTTAACCTAATTTGGTGATTGATAAAAGTGACCGGTCATATATTGACCTGTCCCTTCTGGTTATCCGGGTCGAGTATAAGGATATACCCATCACGTAGCATCCTTCGTAACATTGGTGACATTTATTGGTTATCGCTCGAAATGTGACCCGATCACTTTTTGAGTAAAGTGACCTGTCAACTTTTGACCCGTCTCTTTCGAAGAGTTTGTCTCATTTTGTAATTGAGGAAACTGACCGGTCAACTTTTTGACCTGTCACTTTCGGAAATTCGGGCCGGGTATAAGAAAATACCCATCAAGGGAAAATGACTAAAGTAGGGGTAAAGAATTTAAAACATACCAAAATACGAGTTTCATGTTTTTATTCACGAAATAGGATTTAAAATGCATTACATTACCAATCCTGATCAGGTACATTATCAAAAGATATAGTATTATAACATGTATAGTGTCATATTACCACACTGCAAACTCTTATTTAGGGAATAATTACATGGAACTCCTATTTTGGTACTTTTTCTATGTTTTACTCCTATTTAAGGTGATTTTTTCCGAGATTTATTGGTAAAAACCGTGGCTAGTATCCTCATTATAACCAGAAGGATTTTCATTATTTCCCACCCATGTTGCATCAAGGTCACATTAGGGACAAAATTTTGATTAGTGATATTATAAGTTTAATTTCTATCAGCAGATATTCAAAACCTAGTTGTAATTGCAAAGCTTTGATTAGTGATATTTATGAGTTTAACTGAAAGGGACTGTTACCCCCCTCCCTATGGCAGGAGGAGCACATATTCCATTGGAAAATGAAATACAAAGTGTTTTAAATCCACAATGTATTAAACTGATCAGTCCCAAAAGGATTAAAGATGGGTCACGAGGTAAACTGTTAATTCAGATTCTCCTTCGGGATTGGTTTGTTTACTTGAAAATATTTTCTGATTTTCTTCATATGTTTTGCGCATAAAAAACTTTTCCATTGAAAACATATACTCCGTATTTTTCTTAAGGGCATTATCTTTTCGCCTTATTTTTTTGCGGATCGTACATCATATTATGCATAGAAGAGCTTGAGTTTCCCAGGAAAACATCTTCAAAATTAATTTATGTGATGTTGTGTTTGTTGTTGGAGGAGTGTATTCTCGTGCTTCATAAGGATCCCAAGTGGGGAAAAAAGTGAAGGGGTTAAAACATTGTCATGCTTTATTTCCAAAACATCATATTTCGAAAAACGCTTTCCTTGAAAGTTGTTTTCACCAAGTTATTCAATTGAAACAGACAGAGCCTTGACATTTTCAAGTTCTCCATCTGATACCCCTTCTCTTTGTCAGGATCATCTGATTTCTTAAACAGAAAATTTTCTCAACTCAATAGCTTAGGTTTGAAGAGAAAGCTTGAGGTAGATGGAGGCATTCCGGTTAAGAGAACAAGGACGAATGAGTGTAATCCCGGTTAGCATCCATTCCCTCTTCCACTTTTTCTTCCATATATATCTCTGATCTCTTGGAAATAGTCTCTCTTCTAACCGAGATCCTACTTCCGTGGGATTCTACCGAGTTTGTTTGTTTGTTATTGTTGTTGCGATATCTCATTTCCTGAATGTACTGCATTCTCAGATATTATAACACAGAGAGGTCCGGTTTTTGCGAACAAACGAGAAAGACATCTTCCTTGCAGCTTAGATTGTGATGCTGCGAAACAGAGGAAAGAAGACGAAAATATGGGTGTTTCTTCCCCTTTGAAGAGGATAAGAAACTACTGAAGATCTCAAGAATGGATGATAAAGACTTATGTAGGACAATGTATGATATGAAGCTAGTGCACATCCTCAACACACCATATTGTAACTTGTAAGTTCATTATTATATTGTGTGTAATAGTATGTTTCTGTTATATCCAAACAATGTCACTATGGCTTCCATCACTAATTGAGAAATGACAACAATTAAACCAAATTATCATTGGGTCATTGTGCTTCATTAGGTTAAGAAATGAATAAACAAATACTGGATTGTAATCGAGTGACTGACATTCAAAAACTCATTAGTGTGCCATATATATAAGAGTTGATTGGTCACAAAGTTAAGTTTTAGGTTTTCAATGTAATGCTTTGATTATTAATAATTTTATTTATAGATAAATAAAAATTATAAATGACAACATGTTATAGAATTGCATTTCAACATGAAAATCAAATTAGAACTGAATATTTATTTTTAAAAAACAAATTGTAGTCAAAACATTCAAAGTTTGATGGCTCAAGTAAAACAGTAACTTCATGTGGACTAAGTAGGTGTTTCTCTGTGCTTATAAGCTGGTCAAAATTGCTTATAAGCCAGAAAAAATAAGTAGGTTTTTGTTATTTTTAAGGCCTTTTTTGTTTCTCCGTTTGACCAGATTATTTACAAAATGATTTCTCACTATTTATAAATATTTAAAAATGATTTATCTATCATTTAAGTAATTATACTTCCACAAAAGAACATTTGACTTATAATCAGCTTATAAGTTAATATTATTTGTTTATCAGCAATAAGTCAATAAGTCAATAATCACTACCACAGAGAAACACCTCCTAAATACTATGACTACGAGTACACAATATTAAACATAAAAAATGCTAGGAGTACTTCAAATATACTCCATTTACTTTAAACCCATAACTTTTTATTCTTTTTCTCTATTCTTTTAGCACTACAAAGTGTGTGGTAGAGCATGCATTGGATATTTGGGTATATATGGGGTACATCATTTGGTGTACCCCTAAGATAACATTTTTCATTAAAAATACACCTTGTCTCAAGATAAAAAGTACTATTTGCTCCAATTATCATTGCATTTTTTAATAGTTATTTTCATCAAATAATATAGTTATGTCACAATTTCTTTTGTATAACTTTTGACACTTTCTATATTTTTAAGTACAAAATACATAATGTAGTTTTTTTAATTCTAATTTATAAACAAATTGATTTCACAACTCCACCTAGGCATTTTTTTTAATGATATTGACTTAGTTACAATATAATATTTGTTTATACTTTCTCAATCCAATGACGCCTGGTGAATCAATATCCCTGCCTTCGTTGAACTCGCATTACGAGAGAAGCTCAGACCAAGAGAGAAGTCAACATCTCTGACTTTCACGATTGGATGGAAAGAGTAGAAAACACATATGCCATTTTTTTTTACAATTAAGTGTTTTACATTATTTGAAATATACTCTCTGGTACCATCAATTTTCTGGTAAGAACTCTCATCTTCACATTATCTAAAATTATGAAATACTCCCTCCGTCCTATAATGATCTTCCCAGAGCACTATTCCAACTTCACGGGAATTTATATTTATTTGTGTTTTTTCATGGCCTATATGATAAAATAAAATATTCTTGTCACCATTTGTTTTGTTGAACTTTTGATGTAGTTTTTAAATATGTATGTTTTATTTTTTATTTCTATACCAATATTTAAATAAAATAGATTGAAAAAACTTGGGATTTTTCTTCGTTTTGCGAACAGGAAAGATCATTATAGGACAGAGGGAGTATTCTTTAAAATCTTTAAAAAGTGTGATATTATACTTCGATGGTACATTCTGTCTTTAGGTTAAAAAGTTTCTTTACGTTTACAAATTGAAGAATTCTATTTAAATTTAATAAAATAATAATTATCAAGATAAGATTAATATTTTTCACAGTAAAGTAACTTTTATTTCCAACGGAGTGAAATCTGAGAATACTTCGGAATATGTGTCAGATAATGTGAAAGCGGTAAGTTATTACCATTAAATCCAGAATAACCTGAAGTAAATTTTTGATTTTTATGGCAGTTCTAGCAAGAAGGTGTACTGTGTAAAAGCACAGCCCCGCCATTTCCAAGTTTCAATTCAATGCATTTACAGAAATGTTCCCCAAAAGATCTCAAATCCCTTCTCTCGACATGTAAAGATAGAATCTCCATTTCCAAAATCCACACCTTTCTCGTCTCTTCCGGGCTGTCGTCCCACCCAATCTTGAATCCTCAATTGATCTCAGCCTACGCCGAAGCCGGCCACACCGAACTCGCTCGGAAGGTGTTCGACGAATTGCCCCAGAGAAGAAGAAGCATCTGCGCATGGAACTCGATGATCGTCGCCTACTCCCGGAAGGGGTTCCCCGGCGAGGCCATGGATCTGTACGGAGAAATGATCTCCTCCGGGGCAAAACCCGACAGCTCAACTTTCACGGCCGCGCTCAAGGCGTGCGCGGCGCTGCCGGACTTTGGTCTCGGCGAGGAGGTCTTGCGGAAATCGCGCGAGTGCGGGTACGGTGACGACGTGTTCGTGGCGTCGTCGGGGTTGACGTTCTACGCGAAATGCGGGGAGATCGAAGCCGCCCGTCTCCTGTTCGGGAAGGTGGAGAGGAGAGACGTGGTCTGTTGGACCGCCATGATCTCCGCACTTTCACAGAGTGGGCTGCCGAGAGAGGCGGTGGAAGTCTACCGGAATATGCAGAGAGATGGCTTGGAAGGAGACGAGGTTGTGATGCTCGGCTTGATTCGTGCCTGCGCGAATACCGGGGAACTAACCCTAGGTTCTTCCATCCATGGTTACATGATCAGGAAAGGTCTTCCCATGAGTGTTCATGTCAATACAAGCCTGGTAGACATGTATGCCAAGAATGGCCATCTCAACACGGCTTCTCGCGTGTTCGAGAGTCTCCACTGCAAGAACAGCTCAGTTTCTTGGAGTGCATTGATCTCCGGGTACGCTCAAAACGGACTCGGAGACAACGCACTCCGACTTGTGATCGACATGCAAGGTCTCGGGCTCAAGCCTGACACGACATCGCTCGTTAGCTCGCTTGTTGCGTGCTCCCACGTCGGTTTTTCGAAGAAGGGTAAATCGGTCCATGCGTACATTCTGCGAAGGTTCGAGGTGGATCGAGTCTTCGGGACGGCTTTGATCGACATGTACGCGAAATGCGGGCTTATCGCGAATGCCCGCAGGGTTTATGACGGTATCGAGATTAACAAGGACGTGATATGTTGGAATGCGATCATCACAGGCTACGGGATTCACGGGCTTGGTAGGGAAGCTCTATTGCTTTTCTTCGAGATGAAAGACGCGATAGAGCCCGACGATGCAACGTTTGCCGCCCTCTTATCTGCGTTGAGCCATTCGGGCTTGGTGGACGAAGGACGGTTTTGGTTTGACACCATGGTCGAGAAGTACAAGATTCGACCCACCGAGAAACACTATGCGTGTGTGGTTGATCTATTAGCCCGGGCGGGACTAGTCGAGGAAGCAAGAGACGTGATCGAGGGCATGGAAATTGAACCCACGGTCGCTATATGGGTTGCACTCTTATCCGGGTGCCTCAACCACAAGAAATTCTCGATCGGGGAAACCGCGGCAAATAAGATCCTCGGGTTGAAACCAAACAGTCTCGGGATCTACGTGCTCGTCTCGAACTTCTTCGCTGCCGCGAAGAAGTGGGAGAACGTGGCTCAAGTGAGGAAGACGATGAAAGCCACAGGCATGAGGAAAACCCCCGGGCACAGCGTCGTGGAAGCGAACGGCAGACTCCACGCTTTTCTAACCGAAGACGGGTCCCACCCTCAGCGCGAGGAGATAGCGTGGACGCTAAGGAAGCTGGAGGACGAAATGGCGTCTTTGGGGTTGCCCCAAAGACGGAGTTCGTGCTGCACAACATCGAATCGGAGGGGGTGAAGGCGACGATGCTGTGCAACCACAGCGAGAGGCTCGCCATCGCCTTCGCGCTCCTAAACACCGCCCCGGGATCGAAAGTGATGGTCGCCAAGAACTTGAGGGTGTGCGGGGATTGTCACGAAGCAACCAAGTTCATCTCCATGATTGTGAAAAGGGAGATAATTGTGCGTGATGTGAAGAGGTTTCATCACTTCAAAGATGGAGTTTGCTCTTGTGGTGATTACTGGTGAGCTATGGAAAGGGTGTATACACCCTCATTTGATTGGACTTTTAAAAGTCTCTTAAGACCTAGTCTCAAAAAAGATTATTTTTTTTTAGTGTATCCCAAAAAACACTTCTACCCACATCTAAAATGCCCAAAAATCACCACATTTACCCTTTATTGTGCGTAGAAGTCGTTTTGAAAGTTTTTTGACGTTTGAGACGATATAGAACTGTTTTACGGGATGTGCAAAAAATGAAACGTAACCTTTTTTGAGACGAAATGAGTACTTTCCACAAATGAGGTACTCCATCCTACTTTAATTCTTAAAAATATCACGGAGTATACTGTAATGTCCTTGTTTATTGCACATGTACCAAGCAGGAGGATTGATTAAGGAGTAATATACTTGGGGCACAATGATAAACTAACATTCGGATTCGATCAAAACAGAAGGATTGATTAAGGGAAAATGTTAGGGGTCCGTGTACCCCAAACATCCCCCACCCCCTCCATCACCACACAAAAAAAGCAAAAAATTTTCAAAAAAATTTAAAAAAAAAACAAAATAAAATGAATGGTTAGTAGGAGGGTGGTGTACATTTGGGGTACACTTTTTGGTGTACCCCTAACATATCCCTTGATTAAGTTTGACAAAATTATGTTCAGATTCGATCAAAACAGAATATTGTCATCCCACACAATCTTATAGGTACGAGACTAGAATATTTCAGATCTACATAGTGAGATCTAGATTTTTGTCCACCTCTGCAAAAGGATGAACTCCATTCTGTCTCCATCTTCCAAGTGTAAATGAATTTCAAATAATCTTTTATTTAAATAATCATTTAATTGAATATTATTTTTCTGTAGATGAATATAAAAAAATTAACAAATATTTCAAATACTATTTTGTTATCAATCACTCTCTTTTGCTTGTGAAATACAAAGTATAAATTATACTAAGTTTTATAATCATTTCTTGCATGTACTTATTCAATGTTCAATTTTCATCTTTCTTTATTTGAATATACTTTCGATTTTTTTAAATAAAGAGTTTATACATTTCAAAGTCTAAACTATGTACGTATATATATTCATCATAATATTTACCAAAATCGAACCATAACAAATCATATCGAACCGATACTTCGAGATCGAGATCAAGACGATAAAAATCACATACTGAACTACTCCATCCGTCCACCATAGATCTTCTCATTAGCCCTTTTTATTTGTCAACCATAAATCTTCTCATTACCTTTTTTTAACAATTAAAATATCATAACTACTTCTACTTACTTTATTTATTACACCACACCTATCTCATTTAATACACTCCACTCATTTTCATTAAGGATATTATGGTAAACTTTCACTTTTTTCAATTCTCCTTAAAAACCGCAAAAAGTCAAAACGAGAAGATCTTAGGGGTAGGGGTGAGCAAAGACCGAACTGATCCCGATATTTCCCGAAAAAACCAAGAATACCGAACCGAAAAATACCAAACCGATAAAGTACCGAAAAGAAATCAAACCGTACCGAACCGAATGGCCGGTCCGGTATTTGGGAACGGTACGAGGCTACTTTCCATACCGAAATTCCCGAACCGAACATATATACTAATATATTATAAAAATAATAATCTTTTTATATTTCTTCATTAAATAAAAAATTTATATACACAATTTAGTTTAATTTCATTATGTTTAAGTTGCACTTTAATAAGAGTTCTTTATTTTTTGTAGATGAGTATAAGAATATTAACAAATATAAACTAACTTTATCACTCGTTCTGTTTAGTTTGTGAAATATAAACTAACTTTAATAAGTATTTCTTGTATTTTATTTTTTCATTTTTAATTTTTTATCTTTCTTTGGTTAAATGCACTTTCAATTTTTCAAAAATAAAAAGTTTTGTTACATTTTATGATGTAAACTAAGTACGTATATATTCATCCTAATTCGTACTGAAATCGATACCGAACTGATGTTTCGGGATCGGGATCGATACAACGTAAAATCCAATATCGAACCGAAATATTTGGTACAGTATCGGTACGAGCTAAATACCGTACCATACTGTACCACGTTCACCCCTACTTAAGGGGACGGAGGGAGTAAAATATTTAGTACACTATCGATACGAATCAAATATCTTACCATATTCTACCACCTAGGAGTGAGAAGTGGTGTGGGTAAATTCGAGTTTGATACTCCCTTCGTCTATTTGTCCAGTTTGACTTTTTCGAGTCAAACTGGACAAATTTGAGTTTCAATTAAATAAAAATTATAATGTATTTTAACATAAAAATAACTTTATTGGATTTATTGTATTGAGATCTTTCAAAATTGTATTTGATTATTCTAATATGTAAGATAAATTGAGAATAATTGAAGTTTAAAGTTTGTCCAGTTTGACTCGAAAAAGTTACTCCAGGAATAAGTAGTACTCCTTCCGTCCCGGAGTATTTGTCTACTTTTGACTTTTGGAATTGTTCATCTAAACACTTTGACTCATCAAATTCTTTCAATGTGTAAGCCTAAATATAGTCATGTGTGATCTTGTTTGATTTATCTTAACATATAGATTATTAATATATAATTTCTATAATTTTTTAATATACAAATTACAAGATAAAATGGATTAAAGAAGTGTATCGGATGATGTGTAAAAATGATACTCCCTCTGTCCTATAATGATCTTCCCGGTTCGCAAAACGAAGAAAAATCCCAAGTTTTTTCAATCTATTTTATTTAAATATTGGTATAGAAATAAAAAATAAAACATACATATTTAAAAACTACACCAAAAGTTCAACAAAACAAGTGGTGACAAGAATATTTTATTTTATCATATAGGCCATGAAAAAATACAAATAAATATAAATTATCATGAAGTAAGAATAGTGCTCTGGGAAAATCATTATAGGGCGGAGGGAGTAGTAGACAAATCGTGGGCCGAGTTAGTCATTGGCCGTGTTTGGAAAACAGCATTTGGGATAGCTTTTGGCATCTTTGACTGACTTTGGTTTTTTTGACCAAGCGAACCGCCAAAACCATTGTTTGGCTAATGACTTTTTCACTTGGCATTTTGATCCAAAAAGCCAAAATCTGAAATGCCAAGGTGAGTAGCATTTGGATTTGGCGGTTAGGAAAAAAATATTTTTTTTTAAATCATTTTTGTTGAAAGATATTTTATAATATATGTAAAAAATAAAAATAAGTTAAAAAAATTAAATACGAAAAAATAAAATGAAATTAAAAAAAATTATATTTATAATTCATTAGAAAATTTATATTTATAATTTATTATGAATTAAATGAAATTAAAATTTAATATTCCATATAGTAAAGATTTAATTTTTACATGTAAAAAATGAAAAATAAATATCATGTCTATATATATATAGACACACACACACATACATACATATATATATATATATAATTTTTTATTTAATTTTTTAAATTTAAAAAAAATATATTTATGATATGATATTTAAAAAAATTGTAAAATAAAATATACCATAAATGGAGGGATGTCCTTTTATGTAATTGTATTTACAAACAGCTAACTATAAACAGCTAAAGTTGCCAAACACTTTAAATTTAACTGCCAACAGAAACAGCCATACATGCCCATTGATTCACTCGGTCACAGTCGTCACTGTCGAACTGTCCGTCGTTTAATTTGACAGTGGTAAGTGAAAGGCATTAATAGCGCGGTCGAATAGGGTGGGAATACCGGCGAATAGTCAAACTTTACCGGTGGCGGAGGTCAATGGGGAGATATGATGACCCCTTCTCTCTCTCTGTCTCTCATCAAAATCCGCTCTGCAACTCTGAATCATCCGTCTTCAATATTTCTTCTCCCTTCTTCCTCGCAGTTGATTTGAGAAGCTCGGAGAAGAAGCATGACTGTAAGCCTTTATTTTTTCCATAACAAATACTATAAATCTATGCTTTGATTTGGATTTGCGTTATTTGTTCTCTTCTCTTTAGGTTCCAGATATTCGCTTTGAATGTTCCAATTCTGAAGATTGATGTACTGTGGTTATTGTAAATTGAATTCAATGAATGATGAACTTGTTAATTGCATACGCATCTTGTGAGTGCTCTGGTATGAATTGGTGTTGAAGACTGTTTACAGCTCAAATAGGGTTTGAGAAATCTTGATTTAGGCTCAATTCGTTTATTTGATCTTGAATTCTATACTCATTTTGTCTCAAAATGTGTTCACACCCCTTGTTGGGGTTGTTTTCTTGTCATTTCCTCATAATGAATTAATTGTGTGATTTATGTTTATTCTTTTTTTACTACACAATGGCTATCTTTGAATTAATGTTATCTTGTTTGTGTTTAGTACTACTTGTATTTTAGTAGCCACTCTGCTTATGTAAAGCAGTTTTTTTTTTGGGATCAAATAGTTCTCTAAAAAAGATTTCAGAGTATTATAGATACTCTATATCAAACTCATTGTAGAGATTGATGGCTAAGAGTTTATGAAATTTATTTGATAATCTCAACACACACACACACACTAGAGTGCATAACAGTGGAGTTTGAATGCCAAGATTTTGTCAAAATGTTGAAGGGTTTATTTGAGAATCTTGATTTATAGTAATATTTTTGTTAGACTGATATGGGATATAGTTAACAATGACTCGTTTTTTGTGCGGTTATTGAATATCATTACTTAATTATGAATTGATTCATTTTGAACTCTGTTTTTTGGAGGGGGGGGGGGGTAGAGATTTATTTTTCAGAATGAGTATCGTTTGAGTTCCTAGATAAATGTTTAATTTGAAAGGTGTTGAAAAATGAATTTAATAACAGGGCCCTTGCCCCTTATAATACTATCCCATCCAACCAGCAGGGTTCAAATGTACCGACCTTTGGGAACTGGGACAGCGAAGAGGATGTGCCTTACACAATATATTTTGAAAAGGCAAGGAAAAATCGAGGCGGAAAAATTATAAATCCAAATGATCCCCTAGAAAATCCAGACATGTTCCCAAGGAAAGCTCCTCGTGCTGCTGCTGCTGCTGCACCTACTCGTTCTCCTTCATCTGAACATGGAGTTCTTCAATATGAGGAACCACCGGTAGGGTATGGTGCATCAGTTAGGCCCACTATAGATAAGCGTCAAATGAGTAAAGACAACAGTGACCACTTGAATCATTCTAATTCTCCACCCGGGAATGGCAACACCATGGGCAAGAAAGGAAGCTTTGAAAAATCGCCCCACCACCCACAATATCATCAAGGAAAGGGTCGAGATGGAAGGAAATCAAATGAGAATACACGTGGTTCAACAACACCAGGAAGAACTCATAATAATAATAACAGTAATGGTAGCAGCCAACAAGGTACCTTGGGAAAGTCATATGGTACACCTGGGAGATCTCGGAAAAAGCTCGAAAGCGTAAGAGTTTTCACCGCACATCACATTATTTATTGGGATATATTTGCACCTCCTGATCTAATATTTAAATGTACATTCGATGATTTACTTTCTTTGATCTTTCACCTTTAGTGTAGGAGTTAAAGGATAAATTTTCAAAAAATAAAAATGCTATCTGTACCCCATGTTTTCCCTAATTTGCAACTTTGTGTCCCACTAAATAAAACATGGGTGCAAAGCTAAATAAACGCCAACGTGGTGCAAATACCGGACGTATCCTGGGACTTCTGTAAAAGGGGACGGGAACATTATGGGGTCCTGGGGCAGCGCCTTTTTTTTAATTGTCATATGAAAGAACCATTCAAATACGGAGTAATTAAAAGGAAAAAGACCCAATTTATATCTCAAAAATTGAATAATTCCCGAAGAACTATGATTTTGCATTTGAAAATATGAAATAATAATGCTCCCTAATATATTGCCAAAGCCCAGAGCAATGTCATTTTGGTAATAAGGAAAAAAATACGGGAGTCAGTTCCCCCCCCCCCCCCCGATCCGCCCTTCTGCAAATATCAAATTTCCCATATTTCTTCTTCATCTTTCCTTCTTGATGTATAAATGCGGCTCTTTTGTAAGTTTCATGGGATTCTTGTCTTTCTTTTTTTCTTTCATCTGCACTTTGTTCACGACATGCATCGTGCATATGGATCTCAATAATCCGTTTTCGGAAGAACAGATGGTCGAAACTTGAGATCTCACCAAATGCACTGAGAATCTTATTGGCTTTTAATGTGACAACTGTGTACTTGTTTTTTGCGCACAGCCTGATAGGAAAGGAGCTGCAGCACTTCCGAAATTTGGGGAATGGGACGAGAAGGATTCTCAATCAGCAGACAACTATTCTTACATTTTCAACACGCACCGTGATGAAAGGCACACAGATGCTTCCTCAAATGTTATGCGGACCCCAACACGACCCCGTCCCAACAGAAACCAAGATGATGATGATAAGTTTCAGGTACACTACTCCGGGCAGTTTCAATTCCATAGATGATGAAAAATATCCTTTGTTCTTCGTTTCTGCAATAATAATTGTGTATGCGTTTTCATCTTCTCTTCATCTGTTTTTTTCCCGGGCAGAAACGTTGCTGCCCATGGTGGTCAAAAAGGTGAAACCTGAGTTGCCCCTTCATTTCCAGGGCAGGCAAACTGAGTTATGTAAATAAGAAGACAAAAAAGCTTTGTGATGCCGTCATGCAGATGAGTTGTGTCTTCCACATTCTATTTACCGGATACAGAACTTTCATTCCCTGTGATTAAGCAAAAATAATATCTTATTATTATTATCTTTTGTTTGATTTTTTGAAAAAAAAAAAAAGAACTCTTGTATTCTTAGCATTCTTTTAAGCTTATGGCACCAAGTGACCATTTCAATGAGCTTTACAACTTTCAGTGGTCTCATCCAATTGGCATTTGATTTTGTACACATTTGCTGCCAGCAAAATGTTTTACCGCAATAAAAAAATAGATTGATATTGGAATTTCGACAATCGTCATAACTCCAGCGTCGTGACTCCAATCGTCAATCGTCTAATCCCATTTTTTCTTCTCGCAGAAACACACAAATACTAAAATTTGTCTTGTGTTTGTGAGAAGAAAAAATGGAGTTGTAGACAAGGCGGGTGTTAATCTTGGGAGTGAAAACTGTGCTCGGGGGGAAGGCTCAGTTCATGCTTGGGGCGAGTGTAGCATTGCTGGCGGTCAAAAATTAGAATTGTACTCCTTCCGTCACAAAATACGGTTCTTGTTCGGATACTGAATTCGACTGAAATTATTTTCAAATCAATATATGTAAAAATTAGTTTATAATTAAATAATAAAGTTACATACTCCCTCCGTTCACAAATAAACTTTACGTTCACTATTCACAGGGTCAAACTTTATTCACTTTGTTGGCCTATTTTCGTCACTCATTTGATAAAATAATATAGTCATGTCACTTCTAGTTTTGTAGATCTTTTGATATAGTTTTTTAATATGTAATTTTTATGTTTCAATTCTACACCATTTTTCATATAAAATGATTTGAAAATAACTTCAATCAAATATTGTAACGCGTAATGTAAAGTTTATTTGTGGTCGGAGGTAGTATATTTTAAAAAATTACGGAAAACATCAAAGGTTCTATAAAATTTGTCGTGACAATGTTATTTTATTTTGTTAAATTATTGATAAAAATGTAAAAGGAAAGTAAAGTTTGTTTTACTAGTGAATAATAGCTAAGCATTTTTTTAAGGAGGGATCGAGTATATAATTGTAGAGATCGTATAACTAATAGATAAATAGTGAATAATTATCTCATTGTTAATTGAGTTAGATTTTCATTACATTGAATTTCAATGTCATTGAATGACAATGATTTTTAATGTTGGTCCCAATTGCGGCACCTACGGTTCGTAGAATTTGGAGTCAAATTTTATAACTCCAAAATCAATTAAATTTTGAAGTATAAAATCAATTTGGTGGGCGAGGTTAGGAAGATAATATCAATCAATTTTACGAACCAATTAATATAGGTGTCTCAAACGAAACTAATGTCAATATGTCATTATTCTTTTGTTATCTATTAAGCTGACATTAGAATATGTTAAAGGAAATATGATTGATGTGAAATAATATTTTTAGTCTTCAAATTAACTGTAATGTTATATAATGGCAAAAAATGACTATTTCTAGAAAGATATTAATAAAAGAAAGATCACGGATGTGATATTTGATAATAGAAAAGTAAATATTGAAAACTCGATGTTATTAAGAACCATTTATAAAATTTATTTTCTAATAAATTATACTCTCTCCATCCTTTTGAAAAATACTCTCTCCATCCTAAAATTAATTTCTAATTTAACCTTTCACGGTCTTCAATTTAATATTTTGGCCATTAATATCTCTAATTATATATAAATATATATTAAAAATAAAATGTTTTAAAACTATGTTTCAAAATAAATGTATTGGAATTAAATTTATATGAAAATTCGATATATTTTTTCTGTAATATATGGTCAAAATTTAAAGGGAGAACTTTCTAGATAAAAATAAAAAGTTATGAAAATACTAGAATAGAAGCCATAAGTCTTTCAATACAAAATAGAAGTTTACATTGTTATTGTTACATTGCAACACTTACCACATTATCACATTGTAAAAATGTTACACTATCACTGTCACGCTGTCATCTGCCGCTGCGAATCACTGGTGATGGACTGATTGCACTGACATGTTACATTGTCATCACTTTCCATCACATCGTCAATGCGTACTCTTTTACTACACTGCCATTGTACTCCTATTTCAATCTTAAAAGACTTAAGACTCTTATTTTGGTATTTTAATACTCCCTCCGTCCTATAATGATCTTCCCGGTTCGCAAAACGAAGAAAAATTCTAAGTTTTTTCAATCTATTTTATTTAAATATTAGTATAGAAATAAAAAATAAAACATACACATTTAAAAACTATATCAAAAATTCAACAAAACAAGTGGTGACAAGAAAATTTTATTTTATCATATAGGCCATGAAAAAACACAAATAAATATAAATTCCCGTGAAGTTAGAATAGTGCTCTGGGAAGATCATTATAGGACGGAGGGAGTACTTTTTTTAACTCCTATCAAGAAAAAATTGCTTAAATTTAAAAAGTTTAACCATTAAAGTTAAACTGAAAAGTTAATTTTAGGACGGGGAGAGTATAAAAAACTAATACTGATCTATGAAAATTTTAAAAATAGTAAATTTCATAAACAGTCCATAATTACATGTGATTTTCCATATTTAATTTCGAATTTTAAGATATTACATAAATGATCCCATATTTTTGAAGACTATACCTAATCGATCCTTCAAACATGGAAAAAATATTTTGTCATGTTTTGCCTAAAAATCTATTTATGGAGTAATTTTCAAAAATTTAGGACCATTTATACACCACGGGGTAATATTTTAAAATTAAAGACTAAATACGAAAAAAACTTTATAATTAAAGACATGAAATTTACTCTTTTTTAAAGAGTGTTTCAAAAGAAAATCTCGTCAAACGGACGTAATTCAGCGCGCGGCTAAAAGGTTTAAACCGCCAAAATTTGGCCGCCCCAAAAAAATTCAAAAATTTCGAGAACAAAAAAGAGACGCCAGATTCAAAGCTCAAATTTTCTGAAATTTCATTCATCCGCTCTTCTTTTCTTCTTCCTCTTCTTCTTCTTCCTGTGACCTAAACAAAATTAAAAAAATTCACCAATCGAGCTCAAATTCAATCGTCTGCTTCAGTTATTTCACGAAACCCTAATTCGCGTTTCAACTCGAGCTGCAAATCCTCCCGGAGTAGCTTGAATAAGGAGGTGAATTCCGTTAAAGCTTCAAACGGGGGGAATCGGAACTGTTGAAGCTCGGTTCACAGTGATTTAGTGTATCAGCCTCCAGATCTGTATATTTCCAACCATTTTTACTGTATTTCTGCATCTAGGAGGTCAGCTTCCCATGGTTTTACAAGCTTTCGTTCGGAAATTCACATCCATAACCAGAGGTATTTTATTTTCAAAGACGCGTCTTCATCCTTGGTACTTCAACTTCCAACCTAATCAATATTCTCAAATTTAAAATCGCCTTGTTTCATTTATCCGGTCATGAAACACAATTATTAGATGTTGCCCAATCTCTCTCTCTCTCTCTCTCTACAATCTTCTTCCCTGATTAGAACCCCAGATTACATAGAGCAATGCACGATACAATTCTAGTTTTCATTCAGACACATAAGATTGGAGATCTCAGAGAGCGTCCTAATGATACAGAGTTATTTTTTCTTTCTGTTCTTTTGTTGATTGATCATCTGATCTCTTTTCTTCTGATTGTGCCTCAATTGATCAATTATTTAACTTTAATGAGCTGTGGATTTGACCATTAATTCAGATAAAATTACTGTTTGATGCATCAGTTTTCTGTCATTTATTTAATTATAATACCCGTGCACACCCATGTTGAAATTAAAAAAATCCAGTTATTTAGGTCTAAACACAGGTGTATCCTAGGCATATTTTTCCAAAACTGGAGTACCCATGTTTTCATAGCTTCGAATTCTCAAGTTTCTCATGATGGGTAACTGAGTTTAGGTGTTTAGCTTTACTTCAAGCTATAATCTTTGCTTCTGAAGTGTGCTGAAATTTTTTAATGGCTCAAGTCTTAAGAAAACAAGCATATTTTATATTGAGACATTTTCTTACTACTCTAAGACCATCTCCAAGGCAAAATTCCATTTTCTTACTACTCTAAGACCATCTCCAAGGCAAAATTCCATTTTCTTAATCTGATGTTTTTTTGCCCCAAACCAATAGGAGTAAATATTTATTTCCATTGGCAATCATTTTTTTTCTTTGTCCTCCTTTCATTTCTTAATTTGATTGTCACAGGTTCTTGATAACACAAATGGAATAATTCAGGACAGATTGATCTGGTTTGAGAAGAAAAGAAATCCGAACTATAGAGTGAAAATTGGAAAAGCTAACTGCATTATTATGCATACATAGAACATAGTATGGTGAGGGAGCACAGCATTGAATCATTCTATGCCAGGCTGCGCAATGCTGCTTTGGCCTCAGCTTTTTCAACCCCTCTGTTAGTGTTTCCCTCAACTTCAGATGTTGATTCACTATGTGCTCTAAAAATAATAAGCCGTGTTCTTGAATCGGATTCTGTTAGGTATGCTTGTTATCCTGTATCTACTTTTAAAGAGATCCATAAGTACACAGGGGGTGATCTAGGAGGTTCAACTTCCTGTCAGCCCATTACTATTTTACTGATAAACTGGGGGTGCCAAAGGGATCTCCGGAAGATTCTTGACATAAGTCCTTTGGCTCAAGTCTTTGTTGTAGACAGTCACAGGCCTATCCATTTGCACAACTTGAGCAATGAGAATGACAGGGTAATTATTCTATACACTAGGGATGACGAACAACAGACAGATTTATCATATGATTTTGATGTTTCTGCGTTGGCAAATGCAAGTGATCTAAACAGTGATGATGACTTTGAAGATGATTCTGATAGTGATGATGAGAATGAAAGCGAGAGCGAAGAGGAAGGTGAAGAGATGGGAGGAACTCGGAAGAAGAGGAGAGTCTCTTCAGACAACGAAGGGGGTGGTGATCCTGTAAAACTGTTCAGGAAACTAAAAAAGGAATACTATTATATGGGCACCTTCCATGGGAAGCCATCTGGATGCCTGATGTATGAGCTCTCTCATTTGTTAAGGAAAAACACAAATGAACTGCTTTGGTTAGCTTGTGTAGCTTTGACCGATCAGTTTGTTCACGAGAGGCTAACCGACGAAAGATACCAAGCCGGAGTAATGGAGCTCGAGCAACACATCAACAGCTCTGGGAACTTAGACTCCACTGTTACCTCTGTCACTCTCAAGGACGGAACCAAGGTCTCCGCACCAGAATCCTCAAGAATCTCGTACGACGATGAGCCAAGGCTAATGCTGTTACAGGAATGGAACCTGTTTGACTCGATGCTTTGTTCTTCCTACATTGCGACCAAGCTAAAGACATGGAGTGACAACGGGATCAAGAAAATGCAACTCCTTTTGGGCCGGATGGGCTTCGCCCGCGATGAGTGCAAACAGAAGTTTGAATACATGAGCGTGGAGATCAAGAGGAGGATGAAGGACATGTTTGTCCAGTACTTGCCCGAATTCGGACTCACAGATTTCTACTACCGCGGGTTCCTTCTGTTACATGGCTACAGTTCAAAACTCTCCGCTGCTGACGTCGTGTATGGTGTCACAGCCTTGCTAGAAGGTTCCAGCGCTTCTAGACAGTTTGGGGAGGCTTACGATGCACTGTCACTAAACAACCTGGAGAAGCTGGAAACAGGGATGAGGCAAGCCATCAGAATCCAAAGAGCAATTCTCAGAGCAGGGAGTTCTGCAATAACCAAGAAGGGATCCATACGCAGTGGCAGCAAGTTCAGATGGGTCAAACTGGAGGACTCGGCTGACACATTACTCTTGTGTCACCCACAAGCTTTGACCAAGCTGGGCTACTTCCTCATGGACGCGTTGCGCGAGAAGGGAGCAAGGATGAAGCCATTGATATGCGTCTGCTACAATCAAGAGCGCACCAAAGTGTTGATTGTCGCGATTTGTGGCAAGCCGCGGCTTGGGGCAGTCCAAGGGAATGGGTTTGGGATTGCCTTCAGGAGCGCTGCTGAGGAGACAGGAGCCGAGTTCTTCCATGAACTCTTCGAATCGTCGTGGATACTGCTGGATGCTGGTGCAGTGAACTCGTTTATGATACGGCTCACGGACAAGCTGTGGTGATGGTTAGAGTGAAGATATGTGATTTCTCCATTGTAACTGTGTTTTTTTCTTAGTGGTATTAATTATATTCATAGGCGCTGAACATTTGTTTTTCTAACACTTTGCCCATTTTTAGAGTTCTCCTTTTATTAAATAGTGGCTTAAAAGGTCTCTAAACTGAGTGTGCTGTAACTTGCCATGTTACTAGTCTGGCTTATGTAGTAATGTACCATTCTATCATTACATTATAACAATTCCCTCAAATTATTGACACAAACTCTCTAAGTGTAATACTAGTTTCAAAATAAAAGAAATAGTTGGGGTCAAATTATACTCTATTGTCTTATTTTTAATTTGACTTTTGTGATTAACATTTTTAAATTGTGACTACAAATTATAATTAAATATCTGAGTACATTGAATTGTGATATGAATTTAATACTTTCTATTAATAGATTAATTTTGAAATGTAATTTGGTATATCATATTTTTATAATACTCTCTATTCCAAATTAATTGTTCTATCTACTTTTTGAAGTTTTTGATGACTTTTGTTTGCGTAAGGATGATGCTTGCACCTATCAAGTGTCCCTAAGGGAGGAGCTGAATTCCCACGAGACCCACGCTTTCGAGCCATTATTAAGAGAAAAATGGTGGATCTGGACTCAAATTTTCCAAATTATGGGGAAAAAAATGGTGAATTTGGAAAAATGATTAACAAAGAAAACTAAAAAGAGCATGCTTGATGTGTTCAAAACTCTCAATAAAAGCACCAATAATAGATTTGTGAATCTGTGAGTAGAGATGAAGAAGAATATGAATGAAGAAGATGATGAATATTGTGTATTTCTCTCTTGAATGAGTCTTATTCCCTCATCTAGGAAGAAGAGTATAAATAGGGGATATCAGAGTTAGGATTTAGGCCCATAAACAAAACTAATGGATCAGTCCAACAGACTGTGTCGCGCCAACTAATATTATACAAAGACCGAATACTTCATGTCCAGAGTATCAGATCAACTATGCTTGGTATAGACAGATTGAAGGACTAGACAGAATTCTAGATTACACAGTTGTCTCCCTCTCTCTCACCCTCGTTTTAAAAATCATTTTCTTTTTCTTGTTTCCATTGCCTTCTAGATTACACAGAAGGACGAGACAGAATTCTACTCCGTAGTCCGTACTTTCCATCCATGGCATCCGCGCCATTGTTTTCATTCACACGTTTATGATTGGAGATCTCGGAGCGCTCCCTCTATTTAGGTTTGATTCATCTGTCTTCTTTTCTTTCAGATTTTTGTTGATTATTCATCGGATCTCATTTCTTTTGATTTTGCCTCAACGGGTCGATCATTTGGATTTTACCATATGTAGATTTGGGCACTTTTTACGAGCGCAGCCACCGGTAGAACCCTACCGCAGCTCTCAGATCCACTGAGGCAGTTTTCTTTTCCGGTAAAATTCTTTACTTCTCCTCTTTCTTTTGCTTCTGCATCTGCCTGGATTTTTTCTTTTTTTTTAATATCTTCTCACTTTTTCCAGTCTTCTCTTCCATCTAAATGCTGATTGCACTATATGTGTATGAATTAGTGGGCTTATTTTTTGTGTGCATACATAATTGATTATATATATTCGATTGAAATGGCAGTGGCCTTATTTCTAATTTTTCAAACTGTAAAATTGCCATGGCTTCCTATATTGATTATCTAATCTTCACTAGCTTCTAATGTTATCGTTTTCAAAGTTAATAAAGTTATCCACAACACTAAAACTCATTGCTAATGTTGTTCCCAAACAAAGTCTAAGTCGTGCGAGTTTCGTCCCTGATCTAATTACAGGAAATTTTCACTAGGGTTTGCTATAAGGCGCAACTGTCTGCCAAGGGCCAACTGAAAAGTTGATTGTAGTATGAGCTCTCGGGAACAAATGACCCGTCCATTCAGGTGCGTAAGGTCATCTCAGAGGAGGAAGAGATTACTAAATGTTGATCTCAATGCTATGCCACCACGGGAGAACCTGAATCAGGAGGGAACCTCTTCTCGCGTTGTTTCTCCGGATGAGACCCCTGTTCCAAGAGTCACTCTCACATCACAACCAATTGATGTTGAAGGGCTTGATGATGATGATGATGTCATTATATTATCTCCTCGCGCATTTGCTGAAGTATGCCATCTATACTTTGTTAGTTTGTTTATGTGTAGATACAAGTACAGAGTATATATCTTAAACTGCTATACCTAATTGTGTCATGACTAATAATTTTAGGCATCTTTTTGTTTTCTTTAGGGAAAAAACAACCCCAGGAGGAACCGTGGAGGGGCTATTGTGGTTGATGTAGATTCTGGTGAATACATTCTCTTTTATGGGCTCAATTAATTCCTTGTTCGGTATTTTTTATACTGGTCATATAGTCATGAATTAAAATTTTGAGCTGGAAATAACATTTCTACTTTCAAGTAGGGGTAAGGCATGCATATACTCACCCCCTAGACCCTACTTCTGTGGGGTTTTGCTGGGTTGTTGAAATTTCCCTTTGAAACTTGTTTGGGGAGCAATAAGTGAGTCATTTTGAGTTTGATTCTGTATGTGCTGCTCGTTTTGGGACTTCAATATTTCAATGTAAAAGGAAATTTTTCTTCTTCTAGAGGATGTTACCCATTTTTCTGCTAGATTTCTTTTGGGGTATGTTTGTGAGTTCAATATTTGAGGATTTTGGATGAGGAGGGATAGTAGGGGAGGGGGTTCTTTTAATTTTTAACCTAAGAGAATATATGAAATTTGGTAAACAAATAACTAGTACATCAAGATTCGAGACCATACCAACAAAATCTAGTCTAATCCCCAACTATGTTGGAGAGTTGCATTTACTACCCAAAGCTTCATAGAATACTCCGTATGCTATTTGATTAAGTCCTTTAATTTCCCTAAGCCAAAACATTGTCAATAATGACTCTTTTAACTCCATTGGTAATGGACCCTAAAGCATCGATACCAAAAAATTTTTCTTGATACCCCCCCCCCCCACCACACACACACATGCTAAAACTCTTAAGAATTGTTTGGTTTGGGGTTCTACTTTAATTCTTTTGTTAGATTAGAAATAACTATTCTGTATACATATTGTTATATAATGTGTTAGTAATATTTACTTTCCTTGAAACCAGCTAATCTAAGAATAAAGTAAGTTTTATAAAAAAAATTAAATATAGCTCCCATGGAATCAAGGGCTTGGTTTCATTTTCTGATTTGGTCTATAACTGTGCAGAAGAGCGTCCATGTAGGGTGGCTTCTACTAACACCTACAAGCGCAGATCTCTTACAAATCAACCAGTTATGTACAGTCAGATGTGCATAAACCTCGATGGATATAACAATTCACAGGTGATAACAGAAGCTCCTCTATGCTTCCTAAGTGTACGGCATGTGCTTTTTTTCCATTCTCAGTAATATTCATGTTGTATTGAAAATCTCAACCAGGGCAAAAATGACGGAAGCCTGATGTTGGTACCGGCTCCACCACCCTTGCCGCCAAAGGAAGCGGTGTTTAATTGTCCAGTTTGCATGGGTCCATTGGTTGAGGAGATGTCAACCAAGTGTGGTCATATCTTTTGCAAGGTGTGCATCAAAGCTTCAATTGATGCTCAGGGTAAGTGCCCCACTTGTAGGAGGAAAATTACAATGAAGAACACCATTAGAGTGTACCTACCTTCCACAAGTTGATGATTACTTTTTGGGTAGTGGGCATAACTAAGAGAAACCATATTTTTATGAATGTATTGACATATATAGCATTATCTTCATGATGATTGATGATTCAACCCTTGTTGTAATAGTAGTCAATTAAAGAGTACTCCCACAGCAAGGATGCTTTGTGCACTGGGCTGTCCTTTGAAAATGATCTCTGTGCAAATATTCATGTTGTATTTTTCAGAAAAGTGACAAAATCCTGTGATTGCTTTGTTTTATTAGTGTATTTGTTCTATTTGATCTTTGGTGGTGGTGGCATCACTTTTTGTCTCAATAGTGATTCTAGTGTTTGGGGAACACTTTGTTTCATGAGGTTGTATAGTCATCCTTTAACCGATGTAAATAAATGAGGTAACGATTACGAAATTAGTTTTAGTTCATGATACAAGCAAATTCACTTGTTAGCATAATAATGTTCTGCGCAGTGTACCAAGTTAATTCATCATCATCATCATCACTACACAGTTAATTGAAAAGGTGAAGACAATTCACAAAAATAAATTAGGATCTTTTGACACTCAAACCCATATCAAAATATGACAACATTTCATTTGGAAATCCTATTATGTTTAGTTCTAACCTTTGAAGTATTTATTATCTCTCCTAACCTGCCCTTGCATCCCCGTACCCCCTCACCGATTGGGCGATAATCTAAACGGGGAGGGTGGAGGGCAAAGGACATGTGTACGAGTTTAGAGGGGCAGGAAACACTTATGAGTCGAACAGAATACTGTAGGCTCTAAAATGGACTGGTGTCATGTTATGACATTGATCCTTGATGACAAAAGAACAATAACATAGCTAGAAAAGAAATGAAAACAAGCATGGCATTTTATAACCCTATTCAGTCTCTGAGTGTCCATATGACCTCTACAATATATGGAGTAAATTGTTACTACAATTCTTGAAGGGAAATGCCAAAACTCCCTCTCTTAACCCGTCATGGCGAAGCTCCACAAGCCTCAGCTGTAACAGTACAAAATTACCCAAAGGTTTAAAGCCTATGTAATGTTGATCATACACAAACCCCATAACAAAAGATGTATTATCCCCATACGTATTCCGAATCACAACAATAACTAATCACGTGGTACCGAATGAATAAAATTATGGTGAAGGTGACAGATGATTATTACTTCTTCCAATATGGAGCAGCATTTCTTTGATATACTATCCCCATCCCAAGAAAATTAATTACAGTGCGCAAAAGAAAAACGAAGAAGCCAAAACTATGAGCAGAGGATAAAAGAATTGCCTGTCCGAGGGGCTGTGTCAGCTGTTAGAGCTTCATTAGAACATCCATCTGGGAGAGGATGCGTTTATTGGAGTGTGACGTGGCATCCTGTTGGGCCTGGGCCCCACCTCGAGGTTGATTCGTTTCTTCATGATGGAAGAAACCGTGGGGCTAAAGAAGTCGTTGCTTCTCTGTGAAGCTGTTGCTCCGTGTGAATAGACCATTCTGCCCTTCTCGGGAGTCGTCCTCCTCCTATGTGCAGCTGATGAACTGGTTTGGACAGCAGCCCCCCATCTGTTGGAGTAATTCATGCAACTCTGGCTCCTCCCCACTGCCTTCCCCCCTCCAGGAGGAGGAGGAGGATGACTACTTCTTGGAATATTACGGCTTTCTGCAGTTTCTGCAGAGTACATTGTGGTCGTCTCCCCCTCGCTACTGTAATAATTGTCAGATTGTTGTTGCAGCATCTCTGATGCCTCAACGACGGGGGATGAACTTTGGACATCACTGTGGGGCCCATTTATCGACCCTATAGATGCAATCTCAGCATTTGAGCCATCACTTGACTTTTCACCACAAACCTTTTCGTGGTAGTTTGAAGGCATTTTCCTTGCAAATTGAGGGGAAGCAACAGCTGTTGCTTTGGAAACTCTTGGTGTTCGTTTGGAACCCGGAGAATACTAGGGGAAAAACAAGGAAAATTACAATAATCAGAAAAAATACCCTTCTTGTCTTTCTGAAAATATAGCCAAATAACCCTTAGGTCCCTAACCAAAGTGGTTCTTTCTGAAATTTAAACCAAAGAACCCTTAGGTCCCTCACCAAACGGGCTCTGGAACTCAATTTCTTTTAGATATTTGTTGATACTTGATACTCATTTTATTAAGAGTAAACTCCATAAAATGGTCCTGGTCCCTAATTACTGACTGTTTTCCATGTTTAGTCCCCAATTCTAAGATACTCCGGGTATTACATAAATGATCATCAATTTTTGAAAACTTTTCCACATATAGTCATTTAGGTCAAATATGACTAAATATTTTTTCCACATATAGTCCCTCAAGGACCGAATATGGAAACTTTTTATTAATCTATGTCTATAAAATAAAGATTAAGAGACTTGAATATGTGCTTTTCTCTTGCATTTTTCAAGGTAACACCAAACATAAAAAAAAACTAACTTCTTTAGCATTTTTCATGATCCATACATACCTTTGGTGGGAAGTTGATATCCAAAAGCTGATGTTTTGGAATGCTCTCCGTCTTCCTCGCGGCTATAGAAGAAGTTACCTTTGGCGACTCAAAAATCTCAGGAGTTGGGATTCCGTGTTGATCTGTTGTTGTCGCCAAGCCACTTGGACCAACGAGAGACTCTTTGGGTCTCAACAATGGCGGCGAGTTTGAGGATGTTGGGGTTCCCTCAATTATCTCACCTTTGAAGACTTGCCTCATCGTGAAGGAACCACAAGAATGGTCACTCCTTTGGTGCCCCCCGCCACCACCAGACACCACCAATCTCATCAACTGCAGCTTGGGTTTGTTGAGTTCGTCAAGGTTTCCCTCCCAGTGCTGGTTTAACCAGTCACATATAATTGGGATCGGTATGCCAAATTGCATACTACACGTGCTATCGTTCTTCTTCCATGAAGACGATGATGTTGTAGATGATGACCTTGAGTTTGGAGATGTGGTAGCCAGCTTCATAGGATCACACACCATGAATGCAAGATTTCCATGAACATCAAAACCGGCCGAGCCCGGGCTCCACGCTAACCCATCCGTACAGAGCTTTATGAGATTGTCAGTGGCTATTACAACCCTCCCCTCCCCAACCGTTAGCTCGTTTTTCTCACTGTTGTATCCTAGTAAGTAAACTAAGCTTCCTAGTTCGAGATTCGGTTTCGAACATGTTTTTAGAAAATGCGGCTGCCCGGTTGCATCTCCATCCACGGCATCGATGCCCACTATACTCAGATCCAGTACAGTGCTAGTTATAAAGAACCTGCAAGTAAAGAGAGGTGGCAATTTAAATGGTGGAAGGATGTTAGGAAATCACCATCAAAGAAATTCACTGCAAAAGAAAAACAAGAATGAAACGAAAGTGGGTTTTAAATCTCAGCTTGATTCATGTACAGATCATATAAAACGAGCTGACCTGTGAGGGAAGAGGCAAGCTGCGGCGCCGTTTTGGATGCGGATCTCGGCAGCCTCGGCAGAAGGGGCGGAAGGGAGGTTGAGGTGGGTGGTGAGGAGGAGATTCCGGTGGATCAAAAACCCAGTGCCGCCACCGCCGCCGCCGTTACAGGAGGCTATTTGAGCCATTGCCGGACCTTTGCTCGAGAAGATGGAGGCCTTCATTCGCTCCGTCTTCCCTCCGCCGTTGCAGAAACACCAAGAATCTCGCAAAACCCTCATTACTCAGGGGCCAGATTTCACTTTTATTTCATTTGATTTCTCTAATAAACGACTGCCACTGCGTAGTTTCTTGGAAATCCCAAGCTCTCAGATCCAGAATTTCAGCTCAAATTTCATTCTGTGAGCTTCAGGGTTTCTGCTGCATTAATGGAGGATAGAGTAATTGAAGGGAGGAAGAAGAAGAAGACGAATTAAAGCATTACTCAGTGCCGCCAGTGCATCCAAAATTGTGATTCCATTATTAAGGAGGAGTACACTTCCTTTTTTTAGAAGAAGAAAAACAAATGCCAAACAGGAAAGTGAGGAAACACAATTTTATTCAAAAATTAGTATAAAAATAAAAAACAAAACTCACACATTAAAAAATTATTCAACAAGATAAGGAGTGATGCGAATATCTTATTTTAACTAATAATTAAAAAAAAACATACAAATAAACAAAATTTATTGAGAGATAAAGATATAAAAGAATATGTTGTAATGAGTATGTAACGTGAATTTTGTGAATATATAATGAGTATATAGATGTGATTGTAGTATGGTTTGTAAGTAAAAAGACTTAGAACTCAAGTTTTGATAATTACATTCGAATTTTACAGAGCATGATTTAAAATATGGATTTTTTAAATATCGTGTATGATGGAAAAAACTCACATACGTATCTACTAGATTGAGATCACAATACACTTGATTTTGCATGAGTACCCTTCAAATTTCTTATTCTCAAGTCATGAATTTAATAATATTATAAAAAATTTGTAGAAAATAACGCTTCTAATTTGTATTTTTTGTAAGGACATATATTGCAAGTAGTGGTTAGTTAGTTGGAGTTGTTTTAGTTTATTGGGTTTTTTACGATCGTTAGCCTACGATTATTAGCTTTATAAATAGTTTCATTGTAATCTCATTTTGGATGTATGAGAAGAAATTCAATTTCCAGTTTCTTCATCTTGCTTTCGCTCTCTATAAACATGATTTCCTGTTTCACATGGTATAAGATTTAGTGATGGAACTTGTAAGAAACGAGCTATGAATTCGCCAAATTTTGCACTATGAATATGATGTTCAGTTGGATATTGCATTCAATCCAACCTGATCTTACCAAAGCTTTTCTCTATGCTTCATCATTTGAGGAATTGCAAAAGGAACTCGAACAAAGGCTTGGGCATTGGGTAGAGCAATAGACCTTTGATATAGGTGGAGAAGAAGATTGCAGATCTCTAAGAAAACAATGAAACAGTTGGAACTTACTTCACCAAACTCAAGAAATTTTAGGAATAAATGATAAATATTACTGATCCACCTACCTCTGAGTGTAATGGATGCACATATGATGCTAAGAAAAAGAGCATTGAAGCAGAACAGAAAAGAAAGTTGATTAAATTTCGGATTGGTCTGAATGATGGCTATGATGTTGTAAGAGTGTAGGTCTTGTTGACATATCCTCCATCTGCAAGTAAAGCTTGTTGTTTGGTTCAACAAGTTGAGAGGCAAGAGTACAAAGTCTTCGATCAGAAATTGCATCATATTCAAACAATGAAAATATGGACCAAAATATAGTTTTGCTTGCTGGAAAGAGAATTTCTTAAAAACAGATATACTATAATAAGTTTGATGCAAAGACAAATAAAAAATGTGTTTAGTGCAAAAAAATGGACATCTTAAGAAGAAATGCTTCGAGCTAGTAGGATATCCTGACTTGTCAAAGGAAATAAAGGTAAAAAAGGATAAAATGTCCAAACAAATGATATTACAAAACTGAAAAAATGAATTAAGAAAAAATGAAAGTTAAAAATTTAAGCTTAAAGGAAGAAGCTCTAATTGGGCCTAACATACAAATGAGAATCTACATGGGCTTATTATTGCCAATGGACTAGATAATCCGTTTTCGTTTCAACTAAACTTGTTGATGCGGGTTGACCCGTCGGAGATCTCAAGTTCAAGCTTCCCCTGCCACCGGATACTCCGATTTCAAGCTCTGAAGGATCCGAATTTGTCCATTTTCCCGATCGGAAATTTGCCGTCGCCGCCAGGTACCGGATGCAACTGCTTGTATATATACACCGCGGCCGCCCTCTGATCTCTCTGTAGAAGTTTTGTGAGGATAATTTTGGAGATGGGGAGCAGCGGCGGCAGCGATGTGGAAGCGGGGTTCGCGAAGCTTCAGGGAGAGGATTTCGAGTATTACATGCAGACATACTCCATAATCCTCGGCCGTAACTCCAAGAAATCGACGGTGGATGTTGACCTCTCCTCCCTCGGCGGCGGGATGAACATCTCCCGCCACCACGCCCGCATCTTCTACGACTTCCAGCGCCGGAGATTCGCTCTTGAGGTCCTGGGAAAGAACGGATGCTTTGTTGAGGGAGTTCTTCACCTCCCTGGTAACCCTCCCGTCAAGCTCGATTCTCAGGACCTCCTCCAGATTGGGGACAAAGAGTTTTACTTCCTTCTCCCTGTTCGAAACATCCTCGGCGGCCCAACTGGGCCGAGACATCCTATAAATCCTAATTATCCGGTGGCCCCTGCTGTGGCTTCGGGGATGCAGCCGCCTTACCATCCCCAGCCCCAGCAGCACTTGCCTCCCCCTCTGGTGAATGCCTATGGCGGTGGGGTCGGAAGAAAGGGATTTCAGAGAGGGAAAGAATACTATGACGAGGACTATGAGGACGAGGTGGGTGACGAGGGTTTTAAAGCTAAGAAACAGAGGAGGGTTGATGGCTTTGATGGAAGTGGTTATGGGTATGGTTCTAGCGGCTCCGGAGGGAAGGTCTTAATAGGTGAGACTGTGATCTTCTGAAATTGTCATTATTTCATTGTGGCATGTAAAAGGTTCCTTTTTGTGGTTCTCTTAACCACCCTACAAAATGATCACTTGATATAAGCCTATAAGTATGTATGTGAATGTATTATGGATCTATTTCTGCACATACTCTTTGCAATGAAATGTGAGACTCATTCAAACTAGGCCACAACTTTTCTTCATCCTTCCACCTCACCGTTTGCTGGGTTGTGCTTGTGTGGCTGTATTAATGGTATGTGTTATGTAGATTGTCGTGGTTTGATATACGAGGAAGGATGTTTGTGGAATATGTGTCATTAATATTATCTTGATATTCAAAGTTGAGAGTTGTTTTTAAGGGGAAAAAGTTCTCTTAACAAACAATGACTTTGGCAGGGATAAAGTACGGAGCACATTTTTTTTACTGACCCAACTAGCCAATAGTTACTTGTAGCTATCTGAACCTTTTTCTAATTATTTTTTATCATCATTTTCTATGTTTGCATAATTGGGAGATTTGGGGCTTTTCAATGTGCCCCCTAAGTTTTTCTTTTTGAAATATGAGCTTTCATTTATGATGCATTAGATTGTAGCTTGAATTGCTATGGAGATGGCTCTGTGAGAAATGTGACAGATAGCATTCTGCTTTGTTGAAATTTTCTCAAGTTCTTAAAATTTTTTGTTAGTTGACCAGTGATTTGGTATAAGGACATGGTTGTTGTTGTTGTTGTTAACATATTTTTGGGTCCTCTACTTTGTGCACAGAAAAGAGGGTAGATGGAAGATTGCGTATTGACAGAACAGATGTTGACAATCAACAACTGCTGCAACTGGAAGAAAAGGATGTCGTGTCTTCCGTCGCTAATGTGCTTTCGGATCTCTGTGGTCCAGGGGAATGGATGGCAATGGAGAAGCTTCATGCTGAGGTTTGATTTCTTACTTAATAGTGCAGGCAGTGCATTGCTCTATTCCCTCCCTCTGAATTTAGTCGTCCACTTTTTCTTTTGGGATGTTCGGAATTAATTGTCGACTTATCTTATTTGGTTAAGGAATGACGGGAAATTAACCAAAATACCCTTAAATAGGATACCCCCTCTGTCCTAAAATGGCACCACTTTCCTGTTAAACAAAGTTTGATTTAAATTATTTTGAATTCGTTTTATAAAGATATTAGGATAAAGTTTTAAAACAAAATATACTCTAACTACATTAAAAGATTTATAAATCAAGAGATAACATGACTATTATTATTTTGCCAAATAAGTAACAAAAATAGGCAAAGAAAGAAGATAAAGTTTGACCTGTGAATAGTGGAGTATTAAGGTTTTTGCCGATAGTGGGGGAGAGTTCACCCTATTTCTTAAATAGAGTGGTTCGGACAAGTGGACAACTAAGTCCGGACAGGAGTACTTTAAACTTACTAAAGGGCAATGTGACACATCCCTATTTAGTTACACATTGCCTTATAACCTGAGCACTTGACATTTGGCCATCGCTCATATTTTACCATTTTCCAAGTCGTTTGTTTTTCTGCTGACCAGTAATTGTCTGAGAAATTTCCAAAAGTGGCTTCCTCCATGAACCACTATAGTATGGTCTTGAAAGATTTGTTTAACAGGCATCCTTTTGCCTTCATCCCTTACAATGCCATGCTACCGATCCGCTATATTGTGCTCATTGGTCCCAGATTCATAGTTTTTCTATTCTCTGCATCTCTTTTCATTTGTTTTGTTTAACGTTAACATCTCCTATAATCTCGCAAAACAATACCCAAAGTACCCTTAATGGATATCATTTGAACTACCAGAAATTACTTTAATTGAAAATCCAGATGAAAAACAGCAAAACAGAAATTTGGTAGTAAATACTCTTGGTTTTACTCTGTATAAACTAACACCATTTGTGAAACAGGGGGGGACTATGGAGTTCTAGGTTTTCTGTTTGTTTAATCTCTTTCTTGCCTAAATTTTAAATACAGTATGCAATCCTAGTACACCGTAGTAGTTTTTAGTCTGAATCTTAAAACCTATGCAACAAGGTGAGGAAATTCAGCTACTCCTTCCATCCCACTGTTTTTGGGTCACAGTAATTAAGAAAAGTAAGATTGTTTCGTTAATATTGATATTAAAAAGTAAGCTTATAGTACGAATCACGAAAATAGCGGGACGAACAAAATAGGTAAAAATGGACATAAATATTGAGACAAAGCGGGCATTATATACTGGGTTAAATAGGGGTGATTTTCCAGTGTGAGAGATAACTTTTATCGTTAAGACCTCTCCTACTGCCTCTGATGATTATGTTCACCATGTCATTACAATGTTCTGTTTTGTTTGTTTTGTGAAACAGTTGGTGGAACACTTTGGGAACAGGTGGCATCACAGTCGAGTGAGGAGATATCTGACGTCTGAAGAGTACGCTACGGCTGAAGCAAAGTCGAAGCCATGGTATGGATTGCTGATGCTGCTGAGGAAATACCCGGAGCACTTTGTCATCAATACGCGATCCAAGGGACGTGTGGCTTTGGAATTTGTTTCCCTTGTCTCCCTCCTCTCTTGACACCTTTTGTACAATTATTTTAGTTAGTCCCATTGTATTCTTGACTGTGGTTCACCTCAACCTGATGGTGAAAAATGAGATTTTTAGTATTTCCTTTCTTCTTCTTCTTCTTCTTCTTTTTGAGTGTTAGTTATTGTCTGCTAAGTACAGAGTATATAGTATAAAAACTTGTTTGGAAAGAAAACACCAGCATATATTACTCCTTCCGTCCCTGAATATTTGTCCATTTTTGAATTTTTCGGTCAAAATTAGTAAACTTTGACTTCAAATTAAATAAAATGATACTCCGTATTAGATATTGATACAAAAGAGTTTTATTAGATTTATTATATTAAATATTTTCAAAATATTATTTTATTTAATTAAAATACAATATATATTTTATTTAATTATATGTCAAAGATTGAAAATAATTGACCGAAAAAAATCAAAATTGGACAAATACTCAAAAACGGAGGTAGTAGTTATTGTTGCTTGGGCTGACTAAAAAGAAGGCCACATCTTCTGTGGAGCTAAAAGAATGAGATCCATTTTTGACGTCTCCAAAACTGGGAATTGGGTAACTAGATTTGATGATTGATGGATGGATAAACTTAAGTGAAATTTGTACTAAATAGTACTACTTAAATGTTTTTATTCTCTAAATAATAAAAACATTTAATATACTACTTAAATGTTTTTAAGTAGTATACGTCATTTAACATACGTCATTTTTCAATATACTACTTAAATGTTTTTATTCTCTAAATAATACTTGATTAATGTCTACTAACAGAAACAATGTCAAATAATGGTGGACATTTAGTTTGGACTACGTCCAGTAGCGGTGAACATTTACTTGAACAATGACCAGTGGACAATGACCACTAGTACTACATTAGAGAATAAAAACATACGGTACTACATCGTGAAAGTCACAATATTTTAATACTATTTAAGTAAGTTCCTCTAAAATTAATTAATGAACTTCATTTCTGTCGTCTCCAGAATCGGTGGGACATTTGGGCGACAAGATTAGGGCTATATTTGACATTTACTTCAGAGTTTAAATTCAACATTTTGAAAACATTTTTAACATTAGCATTGTTAGTTAATGTACATCATTAAAAAAGTATCTAAAATACTAAAGCTAATCACAAATACTATTCCCAAACAAGGCCTATACAGTTAAGTCTTTGTGAAAGGGTTAAGGAAGACTAGAGCGTTACAGCATTATGAAACACGCACACTAAATAAAAAAATAGGCTCAATGGTACTTTGTCCATTCCCTGCCCAAGGGTGGTGTTACAAGCCCAAAGGCATGATACAAAACTTCATACTTTCTTAGCATTATGTTATTATACAGAATGCTTCATAATGTGAGACCCAATTGATCTTTAAAAGAGCAAATCGAAGCAAATAGAAGCGCCAGTATTCGTTCAATGCTCGTTTACAAATGCGCTTCACAATTGGACAAGAAGCGAGCAGAATACATGCCAACAAAAAAAAAGTCGGGTCTCAAGATTGTTGTTTTTTGTCCAAATCATGAACTCTCCTGTAGATTTCTTCTTCGCGTTTGCGTTTTGCAGCAAGGGCATCCTCGTCAAGGACTTGAATGGGTGACCATTCCGGCAGCCTCAACCAGCTGTCTTTGCCGGCAACTGCCGAGTCATAGAATCTCCTCAACATGGGTTTTAACTTGTGGGTGGCAAAATCGACAGACGTTCCCACTACGGCAAATATGACAGAATAGCGAATGGCACCATGCTGACCACCTGCCATAATAACATTCAATGAATCATAAGTTCGACAACTATGCATCCTAAGGCACCATTTGGTTGTCTTATTTTGTTTATTGTGCTTGTTAATAACTTCTTGATGCATTAGTTTGGCTGAACTGGATGTTTCCAAACACTTCTCCTCTTTCTATATATGAAAAGAGGTCTCTAAACTATTAGACTCTGACTGGTAAACATGTTCATGATCTGTATGAATTGAACCACCCAAAAACAAATGGTTTGACTTCCTGATGATGCACAGACCTTATTCTTCTATGTTGATTGTTGCTAAGTTGGGACAGAATTAACTCTCATCGGCTACTGTGAGATGGCTATATGGGGCATTTCGGCAAATACAGGGAACNAACCCGCTTTGGGCCCGGCAGAGCATTGTAGGGCCCTCAAATGGTAAGGAGTCATATCATGACACTCAACTGCTCAAGGTGGGTGTCAAAAGAGCCTCGCCCTTTATTTTATATAGCATGTAGTACAAAGTATCATCAGTTTTACCTTGAAGTCTTCCCAAAATAGCACCACTACCAATGCCTCCAAGTGCAGAATTCAACATGTCATCGGGTTTCCCAGTTCTGCTTGCTCTTACAAACTCACGAGCACCTGGAGAACATCATCGTCACCACATTCATTCATATTTCTTATACCGAGTATTTCGTGGAAGTGACAGATCATATACTGAATTACTACTGGTCATCAATCACCACTCCATATTAAAAATCCATTTCTTTAAAAAGTAAAATGGACCAAGCTACATTATCATCCATTACACCTACATTTTTGAGGTCATCCTTTTTTTTCTTCCTAATTTAGAATCTAAAAAGTGGTTGTCTGTAACAAAAAAAATGCAAGCAAACATTTCAATGCAACAAAAAGAACCACAACCCCATTAAAGTCCCACAAAAAGTAGGATCTGAGGAGGGTACGTTTACACAAACCTCACCCCTACGTGGTAGAGAGGCTGTCTTCAAGATACCCGACTCAAACACAAAAACACATGCAAATAAAGTTAGCACGGTTACACAAACAAGGTAAGAGCACAGACAAACGAAGCAATCATACCAACACTAGCAACTCAGACCCAAGGCACAAAGAGCTCACAAGCACAAGAGTTATTTCAATGAAGCACTTCAATTAAATTTAACTTGTGATCTGAAAATCCATTTCCAATTCCAAAACACTTATAAGCAACTTTGTGAACATTTCAATTCCTAACTTCAATTAAATTTAACTTATGATCTACAATTTAATTGTCTATCAAAAGAAGCTATTTTAAGACCATTTCAATGGAGCTAAATTCTCTATTACAGCTCTATTATAGCATTTCTTAGAAAGGAAATTGAACTCGCCATCCAAAAATCATGTCTATATATGAGAGTAATTATGTGAATATGAACTTCAGTTAAGTTTAAATCTTGATCTAGAAATCAATTGTCCAGACCAAAACAATTGAGCAATTAAATGAACATTTCAAATGCAGAAATTCAAACTTTAAAGAACAAACAAGCAATTTACCGCAGTAACAGCCTGTTACGATTGCGAAATTGGTAGCATAAGCAGTGCAAATATTAGCAAGACCATGAACTTTCCTATGCTTGGATACCAGTCCAGCTCCTCCACCAGCAATACCTAAATTGGAACGAAAACAGATCGAAACAAAACAAAAATCAATCTCAGTAGCAGAAAAAATGGATAAATTTCGTACTCCGTATTATTTAAAAAAATATATATATTAGAGAAGACTAAAAGTCTGCCTGCGAGTATAGTAGGGAAGATAATCCTATCCTTCCAAATATCAGACGAAGGAGGAAACGAAGGAGTTGATGTTAAATCTTTCGGAGTTTCGTCTCCGGCGGCCATCGTCGGCCTCCTCCGCGCTCAATGAGCTTCCCCGCGGAGTGAAGAGGGAGATGGGGGGATCATTAAACATGGGCTTTTTGCCAGCCCACAACATTGGGCCGGATTTTGTCCAACATTACAGCAAAAATAATCTGTTAGCAGCCCACATGTTCTTTAAATTTTCGTTGTTTTTTACGTTGGCATTAAGAAACGTGATTTCACAAAATAGAAGTTTCATATTTTTATTCCCAAAATAAGAATTTGCATTGTAATAATATGACATTGTTATATAATTGATCATAATTAATATTGTAAATGCATTTTAACTCTTATTTTACTGATGGTTCCTACCCTCTAACCTCCCACCCACGGCCCGGCCTGAACATACCCCGCACCCCCGTCAATTGCATGCAACAAGATTTAGTTGACTTTGGAGTCAAATTTTGACTCCAAAGTCAACTAAATCTTGTGGCATACAATTGACAAGGGATGGGGGTTTATGTGAGGGTTAGGAGGTAGGAACCATCAATTGTTTTGAACCGGAGCATCTTAGATGCCCTAATCAGGGCTCATGTCATAGGAAGACATAAGGGGTTTTTGTCACCCGAACCGACCCATATTATTTATTGTCTTCCTTATTACATTACTTCTTTATTATATTGTTACCATAGTTGTTCTCCTACTATGACTAGAATTATCTCATGTAACATTATTCAATAAGATCAATTATTATCAAATTGTATCACGAAATGGGAGCTAAAGTTCTCATAAATATAACATTCCTTTCCGACCGAGCACATCGCTGATCTCTGTTCACAGCGATCAACCGTTCAACACCATGACGTCACCGACCAATCTCGACGAGCGTGCCTAACAACAGCCGCCGTCCATCATCCTCACCACTCTTTTTCTCCAAAAAAAATTTACTCCGGTATTATTTATTGTCTTCCTTATTACTCCGTATATTACTACTGTATTTAACTCTGAGAAATTGTAATCTAATCTGTGATGAATGGAGTATTAACCTAATACTAATGCAAATTATTTAACTTTTTTTAGGCAAAATGATTAACTTGTTAAAATAATTAATCAATCGGAATTAAAGCGGTGATCTAATCTCAGCCGTTCCATAATTGAAGTGGGACCCACTAACGAGATTCCTATTTCAACGCGCACCGTCGTCATCCATCCGCGCATACAACTATACATCTCACTGCCAGTTCCGAAGAAGAAGAAGAAGAAACTACCACTCCGACCGAGTAAACTCCGATCTCTCCCTCTCCGCCGGCGAAGGAGAATCAGAAATGGCGATAACGCCGATGCCTCGCACCTCCCGGTCTGTTTCGCTTGCGGATCGGGCCGCCGGTAGATCCGCCGCTGGCGTGTTCCCCGTCAAGTTATTCGCCTGCGTTCTAGCCATGGCCGTTTTCCTCTTTGTGTCCATCTCTTTGCGCTACACTCATTCCTCTGATCCCTCGGATCCAGACGTGGTACGCATCCCTCTTCTTTATATATGGTTGCTCTACGATTTACAATAGTTTTTTTCCCCTTTCTGAATTTCACTGGCAGTTTTAAGGGTTTGGATTTGAATTTTGAGATTCCTTCATTAATGTTTGGTTGTTTTAAGTAAATGTGCTCTCGGACTGGTAGAGTTTGTACCAA